CTTTGCTTTAATGATTAAGCCTAGGAAGTGAGGGTTGTTTTACCTTTTACATTTTATTTATTTAAGATTTAAACAAAAACCTGTTAATAAGTTGCAGGCATGTGACTTGTCAGAAGTTAGGAAAGGAGTGGAAGAGCACACAACACCAGGAGATGACCCTGTATCATCTGCTCCTTTCAGAAGGGACATTGGTTTTGGCCATGTCACAAGTGTCTCTTTCCTCAAAACTTGTGGCTAGCAAGGCGAGCCCTTCTGCTGACTCTCTGTAAGTCTCTGGGTTCCCTGTGTTGCCACTAGCAGGCAGATGGTTTTAAATGTGAAAGCAGTCACCCAGAACACTGGTTTTGCTCTTGATCATCTTGTCTCCCAGCAATAGGGAGGCTCAGCAACAAACAGAAAAAGCATTCTTCAAGGTTCAGGCAAGAGCTTTAGTTCCAACAACAAAGGTTGGGGTGTGGTTACAATCCCAAAAAATCATAAAACATGGTTCAACAAGATATTTGAGAAGGTGGTTGTCACCCCTTCCCTCTTGTTTAAATGCATGCCAGCTGCAGGCTTGTGGAGCTACACCAGTTTGGTGTATCTGGCTAGTAGTTTCTGGGAAGTAACCCCCTCTCGGGCCCACAGTACAGGCTGTTTTTCTTCCTTTATTTACCTACTCTTATCGGATGTTCTCTAAGGCACTGCTATCTCAGATGGCCTGAGACGCTTTTAAACTCTCTAGTATTTTGCATATTATCACAAAAATTTGTACATGAGCCATTTGTTAAACATTCACTCTTAGCTTTAGAAGGAGTCTTCTCTGGACACAGTAACAGAAGAGATAATAGTTATCCTAGAGCAAAATATTTTGGTAGACTTGCATTTCATGCTCAAGCTACCCCCCATCCCAGGTTCTTTCAATCTGGAGGTTTGTGGTCTCACAGTGTCCATCTTCTTCCCTGACTTGTTTGGGAGTTAGGACCAAGAGTGATGACTTGTCATAGGAACTGATCCTAGTTTATTAGCAAGGGCTAAATCAAACCTGATTTATTTGCTGAGTGGGGGGGGGGGGGGGGGGGAAGAGAAGAAATAACATAGAATAAAGAAGAAAGGAAGAAAAGAGAGACTCTGGGGAAGGAGCAGAAGAAATGAGAATGGGAATAGTTATAATGAAAACCTCCCTGCAAATATATATGTATGTATTTCCATAAGCCTAAAATTCATTAACAGCAAAGGGAAATGTTTGAGAATAGCATCCCTAACTTTAGATGCCTGTATCTGACTTGGATCCCCTGATAATCAATAGGTGCTTCAAAGGCATGACTTGCTTCAGACTCCTGCTTTTGAATGAGATGTGTTGTGTCCTGGAAGTGCCTCTTTCTCTCTCCAGGGACACAGATGAGGTCCTCGTATTGTCAACATCCGCATCTGGTCGGGTCAACCCCCTCTCCTTCCTGATTTTGCTATCTTCTTATAGGGTCCAGCTGCAGCGGCATGAAGGGAAGGCTGTGGATACGTACTCTGTGCCCACCCTTGCTGGCTTACCTAAGCCTTAGCAGTGTCTCTTAGAAAAAAGAAGCACTGAGTGAAGCAGAAATACTATCTTACAGAAGACAGTAAAGAGTCCCACAGCAACTACCGTCTTAAATGTAAATGTTAGAAGCAGAAAGAGGAAAATATAGGGCTGTGGTTTTTGTGCAGTGGTGCCATCCTGCTTTTCCCTTCCCCCAGCCTTTTTCATTGTTGCCAGATTTGGCATATGAAACTAGGTCATAGCTCTTAGCCATACGTGTTTTAAAAGTACTAGACACGCTGTGAGCATGACATAGCATCTCTGGGATGTTTTGGGTTCATTTTTTACATAATGTAGAAAATCTGTTTTATTTGGGATTAAACTGTGTTTTAGCTGTTTCTTGGGAAATGGCACTGCAAATATTCATGTGTTACCAGGGTAGGCAGCACCTGGGCTTATCTGGATGCAGTGGACTGTCCTCATTTTCTCTCTGATGAAGTTAGGTGCCACATCATAGCAGGGTGACATAGTGTTGGGACTCCCATGCAAACACAGCTACAGAGAAGCCACCCCTAACATCCTGTTAAGGTGAGGTAGGGAAGTACAGCATCTGTGATGGGCTGCCCACAATCCTTGTCTGTTGAAGTCTGTAAAGATGAAGCACATCTGGATGGTCTGTGTGCTTCTTCCTTTGGAGGAAACCCTGGTCACCCTGGTTGCTCTCTTTCTGCTGGTATCGTTTATGGGCTGTGATGTAAAGCAGAGGAAATGGAGAGTGTGAATACTAATCTCACTCTGAAAACCATGACTGGTTTCCTTAGGTACAATTTGTGCTTATCATTCTTGTGCAAAAGTTAGCGGGGCACAGCTGGTTAAACAAACCCTGCCCAAATATAATTTCCGTGCTTACAACAGGGAGTATTTAACCTTTCATTACTCCATCCCACCCAAACCAGAGGTCTATTTTTTGCTCTCAGCCTTGCTTTTTTTTTTTTTTTTTCAGACAAAAGAAAGACTAAAAGCCCTGCAAAACTTCAGAAAGAGCTGAACTCAATCTCCAAGCTGAATTTATATCTCTTATTTCAGAATGTACTAGCTGCATATTGTACTTCATCTTCATGTATGTGAAGACAAGAAATGGCACATTGTATATAAAACCAGGAAAATACATTATTCATGTAATAAATGTTGTATTTTCATATCTTCTGGCAAAAAAGTGGGCTGCCTACTAGTAATTGCATATCATATTTTAAACTAATGATACAGATTTTTAATGTCTGCCTGCTGCTTTGCCCTGCCTGTCTCCTGTTCTAGCCAGCAAAAGCATGTTCCCGGGGGAAGAGACCCTGAATGCCCTCAGCACAGCAGCTCACATTCTTGCTTTCTAAGTCAGATGCTTTAAGAAAGTTTCTTTCAAATTTCTCTCAAATTCAGCAGGGTTTGGAGGTCAGACTTTTACCTTGTATTCTACACATCAAAGCTAAATTATGTTATGTCTAAAGTACACTTGTTCCAAATCTTAGAGGCAAATCCTACGTTCAAAGAACAGTTTTATCAAACTGAAGAAAAATATCTTTCTGGGAAGCAACAGGCAGAATGAAACCTCAAAATGCTAAACACCTCTTACTTCCTGCAATAACTCAGATCCTTCCATCCTCGACCACGCTCTTTGCTGTCTCCAGATGGATGCACCTTCCTTAACTTGTGGTGCATCCCTCACCCTACTGAAGCACCGATCATGTTCTAAACAATTCCAGAGAAGGTCAGTATTTGCTAAAGCTAAAAGAGATTTGTTCTAGGCACTAAGCCATGCACATCTTTTCACATGCATTACAATTTAGCTTGTCACTGGCGATGGGAAAATAACCATCAGTAGTTTTAATCTGGATGCAGCTAGCATGTGCCATGGATGAAGAGTGCTTCCCAGAAAGGAGATAGCTTCAGTCCTCTTGGTTTAGAGATAGAAACAAAGATAAAAGGAAAGGAAGGATCCTTTAGTTTAAAGATTAAAAGTAATTGAACCAAAACCCAGCCTTGCTGTGTTGCTTTATCCTATTTGTGAAAGTATCTCCCATCCCAACAGTTTATCAAGTATTGTCCCTGTGTTTCTGTATGTAGAAGCAGAAGTCTAGGACCTTTATGTCCTCTGACTTATTTCTGCTGAAATAAGGAGGAGGGGGGCCAGGAGGGAGGAGGTACCTGGGCTGGCCCTGGCTGTGTGGGGAGCTGGAGACAGTGCAGTGCAGTGGGGAAGGACTGTGAGGGGAAGGCTGCCTGGACATCTCTCTCTGGAGAGATGTAAACACTGAAAAAAGTGGCTGTAAGAGGCACTGAGGAAGCAGTTTCTAAACCAGAAGCTGTAACAACAGATGGGGTGGTGATAGCTGGGAGTGATATCCACAGCCTGAACGAAATCCAGTGTTTGACTTTGTTCTGGGAGCCCTGGTGCCATCCCAGGGAGGTCTTGTTTGCTGTCTGGGAGTCATTATGACCCAGGACACAAAAATATTTTCTACTTCACCATGTTTGCTTTGGGAGGATCATCTGAATGGTTTTATCTGTGCATGTGCCTTGTTTGCAGGCTGCTCTCAGAGCTCTCCACCTAAGCCTAGAAATTGTTGGTGCATTTCATGACGTGGTTTCATATCTTCTGGCTTTTGCTCAATTAGGAAATTCTCCAAACTGCTTTTGTGCCTTAAACCCAGAGCCTCTGACCCCACTCTGGGGAGAGACTGACAGGATTGGTAAGTAACAATTACTGTGTGCTTAAGGTAGATGATTCCAGGTGCAAAAGAGGGTGAAATGCTGATGGTGAGAAAGGGACAAAGGGAGCATGAAGATGAGATTGATATCAACTGAAGAATAAAGTCAAGATGAAATTCAACCCTTTCTTTTTTCTTTTTCCTGCTCCATTTTACTGATGGAAAACTGTTGTGTCTTAGGAGTGTGCCCCCAGCCTTACAGATCTGTCACAATCTCACAGAAAAACAACGTACCTACCGGGCTTGGGAGGTCTGCTCCAGTGGGGAACAGAAAACATGGTCCCAAAATTGCTGCTTTGCCTCTAGGAAGTGTCTGTTAAGCCATCTGATCAGCCTATGATGATTTTATCTTTACCAGAAGATTTAAAAAGGCAGGCTTGGGGTCCTCTAGTAAATCTGTCACTTGATTCTCTTTCCGAAGGATGAAACGGCTGATGTGTGTGTTGTCCTGCATGAACATGTATTTGTGTGGGAATAGTACCAGTTTCCTTAATAGCTTTGACCTGTTGTTCCGGTTAAACTGTACTGCAGGAGCAGGATTTACCTACCTTTCTTGTAGTGGTTAGCAGTGAGGTATGTAATTACAGGTATCTAACCACCAGTTAGGTACCTCTGCTGTCACTGGACACCTTTGCTGGGCACTGTTATGAAGACACCTTCTAAGGAGTTGCTCGTCCCAGGCTAAAATGTGTTCAAAGTGGGATGAAACTCTCTTTGGAAGTGCTTAAGATTGCAGGAGCCCGGTTAAACTTGATAGCTGATAATTAGGCAACTAAAGTCACATGAGATAATCCTGTCCCAAGTGCTGAGATGCTCTTGGCATTTGGCTTTTCAGCCACTGGATTAATGGTGAGATGAAATTTCAAAATATGGCACATTATGTATACCTCCTTCTCTGTAGGTGTGTGTGCTGCATGGCTGGGCTGTTTTCATGACACCTAGAAACGCCCATGTTTATAAATCTGTATGTTTGGTACTGCTCAGACACAACTCAGGAGTAAAAACTTTACCTGCATAGCCCCTCTTCAGTCCCAGCATCTTTTAAAAAATGGAAATTTGATTATGGCAATTGGATAAAAATATTAAATTTATTCAAAAATTGGGAAGGATATATAAAAGACTAACTTTGTCTTTTAACGTCTCCAGATTTTACCCCTTATGTATTTTTCTTTTTTATGTAAGTAAGATTTTTATTATCAGCTCTGAATTTATTTTCTTGAAATTTCATTTTGGAAGGGAAGAAAGGACTCAGTGAATCATAAACACTTGTTACAGCTTTTATTTTAATACTGTGCTTGTGAATGTTTGATTTTGAAGTGGGTATATTTTCTCTAACAAAAAGCACTGCCTGTTCTGTGGTGTGCGCTCATTGTACCATCAAGTGCGTATTAGTAACTTCATTTGTAGATGGCTGAGAAAGCTCATGTAAATTAGCATGTTTAATGAGCTTTGAAACAATCAAAAAGACTGAGCTCAGTGATCAGTGAGAAACCACATAACCAGATGTAGAAGGAATATTATGTGCAATGTATTTTAATTTCAGACATATCTAATGTGTGCCTAGCTACCACACTTTTAAAACAGAAAACACAATGATGGAGTCCTCGGTACTCTCCTGTCTCTATAACACATTTTGTCCAGACAATTTAACTCCATTACTCATGACCAAGAGATCCTTTTTGTTGCTGATGCTGAGGAATAATTTCCCTCTCCCACAAATCAGACCATTTAACTTCCTTAAACGATGGCAGCCCCTGCAGCCTGACAGAGAGAACACTGGGTTTCTATAACAGGTGCTTCCAAGTTAAATGACTTCAGTGGTGGCTGTGTCTGGGGAGGCAGTCAAGTCCTGTGCACACTTTTCCTACAAACCCCAAGTAAGAGCAGGTACTCTTGTAAGGCTAGTGATTTATAGAGACCCATTGCTTTGAGAAGTTTTTTGCTAGTCTTGAATAAAAAAGCTTTAGAAGTTCAGCAGAAAAGTATTCATTAGCTTGCAGAACTGACCCCCAATAGTATTTTATTAAAAACACTTGGAAAAGTTCTCCCTATCATTCCTTATCAGGTAGTAACTAGTCTGTGTCTTTGGAGTAAGTAAAATGTCATCTCAGGACCTGATTCTGCTCCTGTCTGACAAATCTAATCTTGATATGATGATCAGTAAGATATACCACTGTCCTTGTTGGTTGACATTTTATAATAATTGAATCTTTAATGGGGAAGACTAATAAAAGAACCATTATTTTGAGATGCTAGTAACTTTTAATTCCTATGCCTTTTCCTCCCTGACCTTACTACATCCTCATAATTCTCCACCTGCCACAATCTCTTTTCTTAAAGCTTGGTTTTGTAGTGTTGAGGGGGATGTAAACACATTCTTCTTCTGCCTCCCAGGGGAGGGATGAAAAATGAAGAAAGTCCTGAAGTAAAAAACTTCTGGAGGGAAAATGCGTTTACAGTTTTTATGTACGTTTCCTGACACCTTACCTGATAAATTTACTGTTCTCTGGGACTCCAGGGACTGAACTTCAAGACATACAGAAAATGATCGACAGCCTCCAGAATCCACAGGATCCCAGTAAAGTAGCCCAGCTGCTGGCCATTCACAGAGAAGTGATCTTTCTACAGTTTGATGCAGCAATCAGGCATCGACTACGGTAGGAATTATAGCCTGTTAGGGATGGGATGGGCACATTTTTTATAAAGTGGGGTTTTTTTTGTTCAGAAAGAAAAAAATGTAGGAAAGATGAATTTAAATTTTCTCTATGGTATCTGTTCCCAGATCATGAAATATGCCCCTTAAGTGTAGAAATTTTCCTTCCACAAAAAGTGTCAAGTTTCTTTTAACTGTAAGTGATCAGAGTCCTTATGTGCTTCATTGAGGGATCTCAACACACCCAGTCTGAGTACAGCTCTCCTTTTATCCAAGCATTATATCACCTTTATGTTGTGATTCATAGTTTACTAAATCAGGGAGGTTGGTAGCTGCTACAGAGGTAGATTTATGAGTTAATCTTTTTGGTTTGCTGCAGGATCTACATTCAATTTTATATTTTCCTCTACCAAATAATGTTTAATAAGCAAGAACAGGACTTAACCTGCTTATACTGAGATCTAGGTTTACCCTCCTGTAAAATGTTGTTGTTTACCCCATCACAGAAAACCAACTAAGATATATTTTTGAGGTCTTTCTAAAAAGTAACCGTCTTCCTCCACTCTCCTCCCATATGTTGTCTGTCTGTAATAGTCACAGAGGGGTTGAATATACTCAGTAAAATAACCTTGGCAGAACTAAAAGAAGGACAGGACATGCAAAAGTAAAAGAAGTTTCAACTCTTCTCCCCTCTGTAGATGCCGCGTGGTAACATGACACAAGACTAGCCTTGTAGATGTAGCCTCCATGGGGCAGGCAGACCATAGAGTCCACCAGAAGAGAAACTCCTGGACTTGCTTTTGAGTAACATGTAGGACCAAGTTCAAAATGCTGCAATTAAAGAGCTGTTCCCCAAGAGCAGCCATGATGTGCTTGCATAAAATGCCCTCGAAGGAACAGTGAAAGCCAAATAAATATCACCATAGCTGAGCTCAGCTTCAGTATGGGAAACTACACAAAAATGAGAATACTTGCTGAAAAAAACCTAGAAGGATTAGCTAGGGGAGTTAAATCCTTGCAGATGGCATAGAGACTCTTTGGGGACATACTGAAGGCACTCAAGAAATGCATACCACGTGTGAAGAAAGACTTATGAAAGGGTAAGAGGATGCTGGCATGGCTAAACAGCAGGATTAAACAGATTATTAAAGCAAGAAGGCATCCAGCTAAACTTTCATTCAAATGAAGAAAACAGAAAGGGATATAAACTGTGACGGGATAAATATGAAAGGATTCAAGACAGCCCAGCCCAGTTTTGAGGAGCAATTTTGCTGAAGGCATCAAATCTTGTTTCAAATATACCAGAAGCAGGAAACCTGCCAAAGAGTCTGAAGGGCCAGTGGGTGATCAGGAATGTTCAGTGAAGATAAGTCAATAGCACACATTTTAAAAGGTGATTGTTTCTGCATGCCTTGTGGAAGAGCCTGAGATTCCCACACCATAACCTTTCTTTATGGGAGATGCATCAGAGGAGCTGCTGCAAGTGGAAGTATTGCCAGGGAAAGTTATGGGACAAGCAGACTGAAATAAATATAAACAAGTTGCCAAGACCAGACAATATTCAAGAATTCTGAAAGAGCTCAAAGAATTTTTTTTTTAAAAAAAAGAAGCCAAATTACTAGCTATGGTGTGTAGCTTCTTGCTTAACACTGCCTTGATACCTGAACACTGGAAGTGGCTGATGTGTTACCAGTTTTTAAAAACGATTGCAAGGGTGATCTGGGTAATCACAGGGTGATCAACCTGATGTCATTAGTGTTCAAATTAACAGAAACTGTAATTAAGTGGATGCATGGAACTTCACACTGCTTTTAGAAAGTGTAGTCATGCCTTACAAACGTATTGGGGTTCTCTGAAGGTGTTAACAAACATGGATAAAGGGTTGATACAGGCTGCCTGTATTCCCTGAAAGCTTTAATAGTTGCAACAGAGGCTCTTAAGGAGTCTAAGCAGCCACTGGATATATGAGGAGATGGTCACATTTGTAAATAATGTGGAGATTTAGGAAGGGGAAGGCTGTAAATGGGCAACTTTTGCAGTGGATAAGGGAAGTTACCAGTGGCTTCCCACAGGAGTTTGAGCTTTCTCCTGTGCTGTTCAGGTGCTCATAGATGACATTGAAAAGGGACTGAAGCTGAGGTGGTACTCTGTGTACGTGATACTGTGACACTCAGGATACCAAGGTCAAGGGCTGGCTGGAGAAGGACATTACAAAATAAAACAGCAGATGGAGTTCAGTGTGTCAGTAAAATGATGCACCTGGGGAAAAATACAATCCCAGTGTATAAAATGACAGCCTCTGACTTGACTATTACCATGCAGTAATGAAATCTCAGAGTTATGAAAGATAAGTCTGTCAAAATTTCAGCTCAGTAGTGATAAAAAAAAAAAAGGAAATTGATTCCCTTTAGGAAAGCAAATATAAGAACACCACTACAGCACTGGATAAATCTTTGTTGATGAGCCTATGCAGTTCCGGTCCCCATCTGAGGAAGGACAAAGAATTCTGAAAGTTTCCCAAAGGAGACACATGGATGATGAAAGGTTGCTGGGTGGAACAAGCAGTTGGGTGACAGGTCTGTAAAACTGTCAGTCAAATGCAGGGGATAAACAAGAAGTGTCTGCTCACGGTCTCTTCCAGCATAAGGTGGATCCTGGGTGAACGGCAGGTAGCCATCTGTGAACAAAAGAAAAGGTGGTTCTTGCTTATGGCTTGTAATTAAGCTGTGGGATTTCTTGCTGCAGGACGCATTGGGTGGTAAAAGTTCATAGGACTCAAAGGGAGACTGCACAGACCCGTGAAAGACAAACCTGCCAAGGGTTATTAAACATTTAACAATCACCTGTGGCTGAGGAAATGCCTGAGCTACTAATTCTTGGAGGCCGTGAGAATATCGGTGGGAAGTATAAGCATATGCTTGTTCTGGAGATTTTTGTAATCTTCTCATTAATCTACTTCTGATCACTGTGGGAGACAGAACTCTGAGCTGAATGAACCTTTGCTCTGACCTAGTACGACCACTCTTGTGCTATCCAGCAGAGCTATGACTGTATGTATTTGTAGACTAAAGTTTCTTCTGGACAGTCACAAGAAGATAAAACTACCTTGTGCTTTTATTTCCATTTTTTCTTGATTAAAATACTGCAGGGGCAATTGGTGCAGAAACATTTTCCTCGGATAAGGCGTTATGTGTTAAGAGGAAGTAATGCGGTGTATCAGATGCTTCATCTTTCTTGTTCCTTATTGCCAGTGCAATTAGTTTCCATTTTCTCCACACCAGAGTTTACAGTGTGACAGTAAATCACTTTTAATCTCTTATAACTTTCCTGCCAGGTTTGATCCCAGAAGCTGTTATTTTTCCCTGTAATTCCTTTGTTAGTTCTGCAACTGATACAAACTCCATGTCATTTTTAAAGGTGCTTCTGTATGTTTGACAAAACCAAAAGAACGAGATCTTTAGAACTGCCAGTCAAAGGAGGATTTGCAGCTACAGAAGGAGTTAAGAGTCTAGGTTGTTTCTTACATTGCAAGAACTGGTTCAACAGGGGCTCTTTGTTTTAAAAGCATGGGAATGGAGTACAGGAGAATTGAGGCTGACAAAGAGACTGTAATGAAATGACAAAGTCATATCTAAGCTAGATTGGGTAATATATTTACATTATGCATAGAGTGTAGTAAAAAGTAGCTTTATGTGTGTGATTGCACAGCACAATGCAATCCAAGCAGGAGGAGCCAGCTGGGTCGCAGAAGCGCTGTACAACTGCGCTGGAAGAGGTCTCTGCTGGTTTAGCAGCTGCTGGGCTCTGGTGTGTCTGCATGGACCAGCATTTGCTGTGTGAGACCAGGTGCCCTTGCTAGGTGAGACCAGGTCTCATGAAAATCAGTGGGGAGTGTTGTTGATAAACCTAGCTCTGGACTCTTAAGTATCCTATAATTTGGGTTCCAGAGCTTCAAAAGCACTTTTGAAATCTTTGAAAAGCTTTAGTGGCCCTCCCACATTGTATAGGAAATTATCCTAGTATCAGGAATAGGAGGCAGTAGAGCTCCTGAATTATTTTGCAGCCTATTAGCTACCTGAGCATCCCTCTCTGTTAGCATTGACATATGTTTTGCTGTAAGCAGCCCCAGTCAGAGGCACTTTGACACATGCATCTACATCACTAACATTTGTGTCTCTTTGTTTTAAATCTTCATACCTGCCGCTTTCCCCGTCAGTCACTACCATACTGGGTTATAATGAGGTACAGGTAATTTTTTATAGACCATTCAGAGAATTTTGAAGTCATCTTACCTCTTTTTTAAATACAAACATTTTGTTTCCTTTACAGAGAGACATTTTTGTCCTCGGGGAATGTTTCAGCCTACCAGAGTGTTACAGACAGGATATACCATGCGTTGCCTCCATTGAGTAACTCTGTGATTCAGAGTGCATTTGCTTCACAGCTAAGGCTCCGACAGCTTCTAGATCCTCAAAGCTGCAGGGTGAGTGAAGCATGCCCTCAGAGGCACTCTTCTTCTGTTTGCACTGAGCTCCTTGGAGAACAACCTTCTCTGTGCTTCTTGCTGCTGTGCTTACTCCTTCCCTACCATCGTGCAAAGAACCTAACTGCTAATAGCTAATTAAAAAAAAAATCCCATGCTCACAGCTTATTAACTTGATTCACCAGTAGGAGTTCTAGAAAACACTCTCTACAGAAGTGAATAATAAAAATCTGAGATGAAATGTAATCACACTGATGTCACCAAAATGGAATTATTCTGCATGACAGATGTTGGTGATTCTGCTAAATTTCAATTTTGTGTAATTACCCTTCTGAGCTGTCTCATCACCTAGCAGCAGTTTTGATTGCCCAACGTGTCTGTCATGTTGTGTGCAAGATATTTAGGTCTAGCTCTTTCTTTCTTAGCTATAGCATCACATAGGGTTACTTAATGCCAAATTACATACCTGTGTGCTCGAGGCACCTTAAATGACACTGGCAAAAAAAGCTAGTGTGACGTTAGGGAAAGTAAAGATAAGTCTTGCTGGTGATATTAGCATGCTCCAAAGTAATAGACAATTTTAAATAATCATTCTAAGCTCATGTTTCCTCATTTTAATGCCATTCAGCTAATTACCCAATATCAGATACTATTGTTTCACCTTTAATAGTGCGTTTCGCAAACAGTGAGTTGGAGGCATACAATTTTCTGCCACCCCTGCCTCAATTTAGGTGACAATAACACATAGGACCCCCTTAGCATAACTGAAAAATGGGATTTGTACTGGCATGTAAAATCTGGACATCTTTGATGAATAACATGTCCCGCTGCCTCTGAGACAGGACCAGCAATAAATGATTGACAGTAGGTAGGTAAGGACATGGGAGCTATTCTGCGAAGGCAGAAGTAGCACAGGATCTTGGTAAGAAATGTATTCTGGAATGAATCTTATTGCTTCTTTCCCAAGGAGTGATAATAGATGCTTCTCTTTTCTAATACATGGCGTACTTTCAAAGTCAGAGCAGAGTGTATCACATATCACATATCAGCTTGGCTTCTGAGTTGCCTTTTCCTGAACAGATTAGATGGGACTCTCATAACTAATTGAATGTTGTTCTTATTTATGAACAGTCATCTCTATTCTTTTAGACACTCGTGCATTTCCCTTGGAGGACATTCCTAATGGACGGAGGATTGTTTCCAGTCACTATCAACAACACAGTTAATATAAATTACAACATGCAGGTACAGTGACACAGCAGCCTTATGCTTACATCCAAAGACATAAAGACGAGATGAACCTATGATGCAGGAGGAAAACAAACTAATACTATCTCATTTCCTGTCTTTGTTTTTTAAAGAACAAAAGTGAACAAAAAATGTCTCCCCCTTTTCTGTCCAAAAGCTTATTTTACCATTTACTTCACATTTGATCTTTCATCAAGCAGAGTAGAGCATTTTTGATGATAATGAACCTATAGTTACCATTTTCCTAGTGTGCTAGAACTAGAGAATCAAATAGTTTTTATGCACAGGCATATATGTTTTAGGACCATGGTGCTAAAAGCTTGAAATCCATTTGTGTTTCTAGCACAAAACCCCCTGTTCTGACAGTTACCTGAGATTTGCTATTACTGGTTAAGCTCTGTGCAGCAGACCTTCAGAGACTTTCCCTTCCTCTCCAGCTGTGCCTGTGCAGCCTGAGTGATGCAGACCAAAGAGTTGCTCATGGGGAGCTGGTGGCAATGCAGTTTCTAATGGAGGATATACTGCAGAATAGCTACAGCTGTGCTATGGAAGATCATGCTGACTGTCAAGCCTCCTTAGCTAAAAGCAAGCAGGTACCTCTGACAACCACAGTTTGTTTGGGACTGTGCAGCTTCTACGTAGGACTCCCGTTAGTTTTGCAACCAAATCTCTGTGAACGTAAGTGACCCAGACCTGAGGTATGCAGTAATAACCTCATCTACTCCTGGCCATCTGCTAAGAAGAGAAGTGTTTTCTCCTATAAATCCTGAGTGCTCTCAAGAGAAGTCCTAGTGATAGATGCCCCTTGAGGACCCGTTGGTATTGCCAGACTTCTGGAGAAAATGTCCTGACTTCTCCCCACACCCCACTGAAGGTCCAGATCTTTCTTTATCAAGGGCTACACAGTGCAAAGAGGAAAGGAACAGCCTGGCCACTGTCTAAAAACAAATCTGGTCAAGGAGAGACAAGGTACTTCCTGGCTGTACTTCCCCCAGTTACTTGCATTGTGGACGTGTACTGGAGAACCGGAGAAGTGGTTGCTGAGGGCACCTAAAGTCTGCCAGAAACTACACAAAGATTTGTTTCAAGGAATGGGGAAAGAGTCAAACTGTTTGTGATGGAAAACAGATACACTGATCAATTTGTAAGGTAAAATGACAAATTTAGTTATTTTAAGGTCTGCTTTCTGCAAGTTCTGACCTATGAGTTTGATTTCTGTAACTACTTTTAGTAGAGACCAAGTAGGGAGTGATGCTGTTGATGCAATTCACTTGAGGAAAGCATCAATAAAACAAAGAATTTAACTTCTGTGCAATTTTATCCCCATCTCTGCTGTATGTGAGTACTCATTGCAGTCAAAAACTAGCCAATTTTCTTCCTGTACTGTGCTCTGAAGTACATGGCTGTAAGAAACCATTGAAAGTTCTGATTGCACAATAGCCTGTCTCACGTTGCTTCCCACTGTATATTTCATGAGATGCTATTAAGCAAAGAAAATCATGTGAAAATCTTGTCATAGATTTTTGAAGCAAAACATTTCCCTGTGACTTCCAGCAGCGTTTGGCAGAAGCAGTTGACTCAAGTGCTAACTGGTTGCAGAACAGCAAAAAGACATGCAAACTTCTGCTGAGGCATCATGATCCAGTCATATCACTGAACTTGCCGAGATCTTTCCTGATACTATGGAAGCAACTAGAAATATTAAAGGCAGAATGGGGCCGGCTCAAGCTGAGGACTGAGGATATCAATACAGTTACTCTCTACAAAGAGTTTTGTGAGCAATACGGGTAAATTACCCTGGATGCAAGAATATTCCAGAGTGACTGAAAAAATGAAAGATTAGAAAAGTCCCTGCCTTCTCCATCTACTTTCCTTCTGTCCCCCTCTTTCACTTGCCTTTTTTTTTTTTTTTTTTTTCCCACCTTTCTGTGGTTTTACTTATAATTAGCCTAGTACTTTCATTCTTCTCTCAAGGCTTGAGAGCTACCTTTTGCTTCTTTGTTTCAGTACAGTTGGGTTTTTCCCCTCTTTCAAAGTCTATTCAGACTGTTAGCTGCTGATGTTTTCCAAGTAAGTTCTTCAGTCATGTGACCCACCTCTGTATTTCAGGCTCCGTAAACAATGTTAAATACAATACTTGAATAAATGGAAATTTTGGAAGCCTGATAGATGAATTGTAGGAGAATTCTTCCTAACCCTCCTACTTGGCTCAGCTTTGAGCAGTCAAGAATAGAAAACTGGAAGATTTCCATCAGAGAGGCCCTTCTGACTGTAGAAAATGGAACATTGCTTTTTAAAAAGCCTTGTCCCTGGAACCCACAAGAAAGGAAGTGAAAGAGCAAGATGACGTAGTAAGGGTGAAATCCATGCATGAAGGCACTGGAAAACACTGTTGTCATGCAACGGAGCACGGAGGAAGCAATGCATAGCGGGCCTGTCCCTACAAGGGACATTTAGATTGACAAGTCTGGGTCAGTCACAGAAAATTCATGCATGTGTAAAGAGCTGGTATCAGATTTGCTCCATTCTGTATCTCAGTGTTACCTCCCATGCAGTATCACCAGATCAGAGCGGGCACAGTCATCCAGTGCTGGGGGATCATGGTGTTCGCCTCTGACTGATTTATAAACTCTGATGAGGGAGCAGCTCCAGGGCAGAGCAGGATGGACTGCAGGAGGGCGGGGAGTCAGGGGTGCAGGTTGTGCTTCCACCATGGGGCTGGGCAGGTGCAGGAGAACCCTGACCTCAGCATCTCCCAGTCCCTCCACACCCAGAGCTTTCTTGTGGGGATGCCTGAGATCAGGTTTAGCAGTTATTGCCTCCTGGGAGGAGAGGTGAACTCCCTGTCCACGGCTTTGATTGCATTGGGCCTTTGAGCAGCAGGAGATTCTGTAGTGGCACCTGCAACAGCTCTTCTATAGCAGGCAATCTGCCAAATATATTATACCATACCCCAAAATCCCACTGTGTTTCTCTCCTCCACATCCCCACTCATGCCTTTCACAGAGAAGAGCTCCCACTTCCCACTCTGAGTTCTGTGCTAACCTTTGTGTCATGCCATCAAGGGTTTAAAAGGCAGCATGAGTAAAACAATAAAATATAATGAGGTATATATGCCTTGCTAATGGTTCCTCTGCTTCTAAGAGCAAAGTGCTTGGCACTTTACACTCAGAAGCACTTAGCAAACCCCTGATCAGATGTGAAGGAGAGCAGCGGGAGGAGGAGAGATTTGTTTGGTCTATTTGAACAAAGTTGACAGACAAGTTCTTACCCCCCTGCTTTATCTGGTTGATCCCTTGATCCTTCCCCTCCGTTTTAGGTTTGTATTATTATAAACTTGGAGAAATTAAGGAACTATGTAGTAAGGCAGGAACAGTGGAAAAGAGACTGTCCTGCCCCACTTGTAGGTCAAGTGGGGCTAATGCACTGAGCTGAGATTTAATCATATTCTGCATGGGTTAAGAACAGGGGTAGAGGAAGAAAAAAGAAAGTTAAGGTCCAAGGTCAATAAATGCAAACACAGTGATTTTGAGAGAGAATGTGTGAAATACCCATGTCTTGGTGATTCTAGCACAGATATCCTGTACCCAGCCATGAAAGCCATAGTCAGACAAATGGGCACAAAGGAGGAGTTTGGAGAGCCCATTACAAGCACTCAACATATACTTGCCCCCAGAGGAGGATCAGAAATCCAAATGAAAGTGTACCCGGTAAGGGGAAGATTAGTGGCACATTACAGAGTACCATGCAGCGTTGTGTTTGTCCACAATTTCTGAAAAGTGCACCACAGTCCTGTGGGGGCCCGTGGAGGCTGTTGTGGGGGGAAGTTTGGCAGATGTGGGTGACTCTGGAGGCTCTGCAATGGCACTTCTGCTATGTGGAGCCAGGTGTGGGTCCTGGGACAGCCCAAAGCAGCAGGGGAACCTTCCTCTGACCAGAGTATTTGTGGCACAGCACTCATCATGCAGTCACCCCCCAAATATTAACCTTGATACTGTATCTGAAACTACTGTATTTTAGAAAAGAATGGAAAGAGAATTGCTTTGCTTTATTCTGCTAGTTTTTGATAGTTGGCAAGTTGCTTTATAAGCAGTACAGAGCTTTAGTACAAACTAAGTATTAAACCTGATTTTAGCTCCAAAAGCTTCTGGAAAGCCTAGAAATCCACATGATCCATGATGTGCAGAAGATTAACCAGGAGATTACTCTAGTGACAGCTGAGAGAGCCAGACAAGAAAGCAGTCTCCCCACTGGTAAGGAGAATTAAAATAACTGTCCTGGAAATATGGGAGCCCCAGTCTTCAGCGGCAAATTGAGCCTTGGTGCATAAAGGCAGCGAAGTCCTACATGCGAAAAGGAGAGTGTATTTACTCTCAGCTCCCCACTTCCCCTTGAGCCTGTTTGCAGCCCAGGTACCAGATGAACCCTGGGGAAGGTATCACCGATGAAAAATGGCTTACCCTCAGAAATTTTCTTCTGTTTTGGAGAGCCCGTTGTGAGGAATTCTAGAAATACATCTAGCAGGAAGCCATGAAGAATTGTGTACCGAGATACCGTGCACCTTTCCTCATGGACCTGTTTCTTCTGTCTGTTCAACAGATTCAGATTCCCTAAATATAGGAATTCACTTTTTCTTTAAAAGTGAATGTTTAGCCATAATCATTGCAAAGACAATTGTGAAAACAAGGCTGAACACTAATTATTCTGGAGTTTACAGGCAGCCTGTAGGAAATAGGAAATTACTTCTGTACTCCTCTGGGTTGGAGTGTTAGTATTTTAGGCCTAGCAGTGCAATTGAAATGACAGACTCTTTAATATGTTAGGTGTTTATTCGGCGCAATTACTGCATGGTGGTATTCACAGGCCCAAATAGTAAAACAAAGAAAAAGTGGAAATAAAAGGGAAGAAAAAAGTGCCCTACTGCCACTGGTTGTGTTTGCAGGCAGCAATAATTAGTGGACAGAACTGTTAAATTTCACACAAAAGCCATGTTCTTTACTCAATATTTATAGAAAACTCCAATATACCATTGTGGGTCAGGTAATTATTGCCAGAACTGGTCTGAAATGAAATTGCATTTTGGCTTTGGTACCAGAATGAATTTGATATTGCTGCTCAACACAGGCTTTGCAATCTGTTTGCAATGACATTTACTTTTTTGTTGTAAACATTTTAGGAAACCTGAGAAACCCTAAGCTATAAAGCATACCCAGTGTCCAATCCCAGGGATTACTGAAGGATCAATAGTTTGTGACAGTGATACCCACTGATGTGTGGTTTTATTCCGTTGGTGTTTTTTTTTCCTCCTTCTGTTCCTACAGAGCTCTGGAAACACAGGGTAATGCAAGAAAATTTCTGTTGTACGACCACAGATAGTTGAAACATTTGTTCAAAGGCTGATGGAAAACTACCAAGAATCAGATACAGAGGTACATATTCTGCATTTCTATCTAAGCAACAGCTAAATCATGTTTACAGCTTTATTTATTAGAGCTCTTGTCAATCCGTGATCTAAGAGGGAAACACATTTCTTAAGCTTATGAGCTCATATTCAGATTGTGTTGGTTTGTAATAGTAGCATTGGCAGCAAACTTGCATATTGCCCTACTGCCTTCTGACAGGTTTATTTCAGCTCTCAGGACTGTAATAATGTGAAGATGAGTTAGGGCTCTAAGTTTATATGCAATCTCAATGCAGGATTGCAGGACTTTATTCATGGATTCAGTAGTGGGAACTCTTTTTCCTGAGTCATTTTTAAATCAGGGGTCCAGCATGATGTTAGGAAGCAGTATTAGGGTTATTTTCAGTGAAATTTAAAGAAAATATTTATGAAAATATGACCACCTCTGGATAAAAACCACAAAACATGATTTTTTGAGAGAAGGTATATTGAGTCCCAACTGCAATCCAGGCAGTGTCTGAGCTGGTGATTTAATTTCTCTGCTGAAAATTCTCTTCTAGCTTCAGATGGAAAAAAAATATATAGTTGCAGCTAGAACCAGTCAAAAAACTGACAAATGTGTTTTCCACTAGTTCAGTGAAATTGTAGATTGGACAAAAGCATTAACATTGAATACTTTTATGTTTGCATCATTTTGATATTGCAGAAGCATTTTATTTACAATAAGGTGATGAGTTTCATTTTGATGTATGATGTATATAGCAACTCTTGTGACTCAGGCCACCTGCAAGGTTTCTTATTTTCTTTTCCTAGGTCACTTTGAAAAAAAGCCATTTACAACAGTGTCTCACCATACTGGGCTGTGACATTATGGCCAGAGAGCGCAGCAACTTTGACATCTACTTCATGTTTTATGAAAATATTCTCCAGCAGCAGCATCGTTTACTTTACCAGAAAGAACAAGTATGCTTGGAGAATTGATTTTACTCTACAATAACAGGAGAAGATGGTTTCTCTGGGTGGGAGGCAGTTGCTAAGTGAAAAATAAACTCAAGCTGTCAGTCTGGGAAGTTGTTGGAGTGGAGTTGGACTACACAAACATAGTCACTGTGCCTCTTTCTGCTTTGCTTCAGGAGTTGCATGCAGTGAAAGAAGGTGGCAACCAAGGTGATATGGCTCTGACGCAGGTTGGTGATGGTGATCTGCTGATCGGGTAGTGCTTAGTGAGCTCATCTAGGACAGTCCCACTGTGCAGACACACCCCGAGGCTCTGGGGCTGCTGTTTCTGCACTCAATACCAGAAGTCACGCCAGAAGGACTTGTAAAACAAAGATAACCTGAAGGCAAAGGTAGTAGCCTACTGTTCTGTGGTTCATGTTCCCAAGGGTCAATGTACTGGTAACCTTCTAACTTCAACTTCTCCTGACAGGTCTCCATCCACAAGGCTTTTTCCCTGAGCAATTCAATCCTGTGCATCGACTGTGATAGAAAATAGAAGTGGGTCAGACACTCAGGCCATACTGCAGTGTAGGTACCAGGCATGCTACATCACAGCTGCATAACCAGATCCTCTTAAGTTCTGAGTACTTGACTATTGCAGCCTCAGCTGTGTTTTTTAGGATAGCTTCCATGTGTGGGTGGAATTTTTTAAAGAAGTAAATCCAGCCAATAAATCACAAATGCTATCTTGTGGAATCATGTGATAGTCATGTAATCTATTAGCTGACTTGGAGGCTTGATTCCATCAACACCAACCCCACTGCTAGAGGTATGTCAGCTTCTACAGAAACCTACACTAGGGAGAAGACTGCTTGGATTTCAGGGATGTTTGCACAGCAGTGTTAGAACTGGATTTCATTCCTGAGCTCCTTTTCTCATCTGCCCTCATCACTGACTACAAGATTTTCGTTCTTCTCTAGGCTTCTTATCAGTTTTTTGCCTCACTTTCTCATGTTTTTCCCATTTTTTTTCCCCCATATCCTTTTCTGTACAGTGTTTTGTCAGCAACCGCCCATCTTCCCTGATTTCACTGTCCTGTCCATATGTTTGGGAAGGCTGAAATGAGAGAGAAAATGAGAAACATGTGGGACGTTTCAGATGGGTGGAAAGATAGAGCAGTAGGACTTTGCTGGAGTCTATGGGCAGTAGAGTCTCTCCCCACTTCCACTTTGCTAGCCCAAATCCCTGCCTCATCTGTGCTGTACTTAAAGGAGGTGACCTAGGGTGGCCAGCTGCCTACTGTCTCTGAGCTCTGCTTCAACCTCAAAAGAGACTTCCTACTCCCAGTTCCACTTCTTGCTAGCCTAAAGCAATTAACAGAGGCTATTGCAAGTCTGAAGAGCAAGCTCAGTTGGTCAGTGGTGGTGTTAGAAACCATGAGAAAGGTTCAGGCACGATCAGCCAAAATGGGATGGCATATAGTTTAAAAACTAAAAAGTCTCAAAGGAATATACATGAACCACATGGGTTGCTTTTTTTTCTCCAACAAAGTCGTAGGATTTGTCCAACTTTTTGCTGATTTTACAAAAACCACATCCAAAACAGAGAAAAACTACTGCTGCTCTGAATAAAGATCACCAGAATTTTTCAGCAGGGCGAAAATACATGTATTTTTCCCTAACATTCATTTTCAGAAGTCTCTCAGTAATGTTTACTGTAAGACAAAAAAATTGACACAGAAAATCGCATTGAGAATCCAGTGATTAGCATTTGCTACTTAGATCTGGCATGTGGAGGTGCCAGGCAACCTTGAAAGCAGACTGTGCTGTTGGCTGTGCCTGCAGACTGCAGTTGTGCCTATTTCTTATCTGAATAATGTAATATGCTAAGAATGATTTTTAGCTTTCCTCCATTGTGTTCATCTGGTTGCAAATGCTGTTCAGTGGTATGAAAATGATTAAACATTTATACCTAGCAGTGACCTACCTATATGAAATTTAAATTCTGTATTCTAAATCTTCTTAAATTCTATCATGTACCTTCCTATTTGTGCTAACCTGCCTGCCCTTTCTGAGGGTATGTTAATTGTCAAATATCAACAAATGGAACACGTTATTGTTTTTATCATATATTAAATGGTCTGTATGTACAAGTTTATCAGCAGACAGCATATTTGCTCTGATAAATGCATTACCTCACAGCTTACTGGATGAAGCCTGGGCACAATTCTTCTGACTTGCTCTCTGGAGGCAGGGGAGATTATGCTGTGGGAGGAAAGGCTCACCAACATAGCAGAGCTATGCACAGGATCTTCTCCCAAAATCAGATTCCCTAATCCTGCTCCCCAATCTTTCCACTCCTCTGTCCTCTGCGTGCTTTTCCTTCTGTCAGTTATCATACCTATTAGTGAGGAGATCTTTCCTTCCTGATAATCAGAAATGGTCATTTTAAGGTTATGTATGAAACTCACGCATTTTCCCCCTTCAAACATTGCTTGTGAACTGCCACAATTTTTCCTACTGTTTCCAGGGAAAAAATTATTCTAAAATGAATAGAGACGTACAGAATGGATTATTCCATACCCTCAGTGGGTTATTTTCATCAGGCCACTCAGTTATGAAGATATTCTTGCTCTACTTAATTAGGTATCACTCAACATATTCAGAGCTCTGGATCCTAGACTATGGTGTTTGCTCATCCTAGCTTTGCTCATTCACTTTCTCTGCTGTGATAGATTGTGGGACTGTGCCATGGGATGATTATGGAAATAACTGCTCTCAGAGCCCAGCTCGCTGACTTAGAGGAAGAAAATCTTGGTCTCAAAGAGAAGATTAGAAAAGAAGTACGGGATGAATATGAATCATTAGTGCGGAACCTATTTGTGACTTGTGTCCATCTAAAAGTAGGTACAGAATAAGAGGGGGTACTCAATCGGTCTTTTTTGTGCTTCTGTATAATTTGCCAACAAGTATAGCACTCAAAGGAATAAATTGCTGCAGTGTGCCAGGTGGATGAATGGGTGAATCATTTATCTCCTGCTGCTAGAAGCATCTTGTAAAAATGTCTGGTAGAAAAATAGCGTACCTTTTCCAAGAGAGGAGGCGTATTCTTGATGGAACAGGTACCACATTAGAGAGAGTGATGGAAGCTCTTTTTAGTTACAGTGGAGGGAACTTTTTGGATTATAATACTTCAGTTTGTAATATTCTGCATTATTTTACTTGGAAACTTTACGTCCACTGCAAAATTGTATTGCTCACTCTAACAATGCCTTTGTTTTCAAGCAGTCCACTGATTTCTTTGGGGTGACATATGTCATTACTTACAAAAATAAGGTACCCCAATCTAGCCTGTAAAAACTGACCTGATTGTGACTGTGTGTATTATAGAGCAACCACCTGCATAAGATCCCCAGGGTTTTGATTGATGGTTCACAAGCCCATTAGTGTGTGTGGCCAGGGAAACAGTGACTTGAGGAATATTGTGATTTGTTTTGCAATCCTGAGGGTGAGTCCAGTTTTCACCAGAAAGCTTATTTTTCACCATGGGGCTGCTACTTCCATTAAATACCTACATCCAAGGACTGTCAATAGTTTGCCTGCAAATGATACAATAAAATTCCATTTTTTGTAGAGCCTGAATGCAAGAAGACTATTGCTCTGTCTTCTTGATACATTGATTCTAGGAAAATAATTATGAAGAAAGACCATCTGGTTGTAGTTGAGAGACTTCTGAAATCTTCTGAATGTTGCTTTCCCATATGTGCACACTTCATCTCTTTTGGGTTGTTTGTAATTGCAGGGAAATTTGGATGTCTATCGCCTTAGCATTGAGCAACGAGTGTTTGAAATCATCAGTGAAGTGAGAAGAGAAGGCGTTGACAATATGATTGATCTGAAGAAAAAGTTTGGCTCCACTAAAAATAATGGTGACTTGAAAGAACATTTGTCTAAAGTAAGGAAATACATATATGTGTCAGTAAAGGAACCCAAGGATATCATCCTGGTTAAGCTTGCTGAAGATGGCTTAAGTTATTGCATTCTATCTGGGACATCGGTAGGGTGAAGAGCATGGAGGTGGTCCATTTCTAGACTCTGTTAATGGCTACTGATTTGTCAGGCTCTCATAATTCAGTCATTTTTGCCTGTGTTTTTATGCTCCAAGTGAAGAAAAATTTGGGCCAAACCCAGCACTTAGACCCTGAATAACTACATGTATTTGAACTGAATTTGGTTCTAAATTTAGGAACTCTTTCAGTCTGTTCTGAGGGAAACTAACACCATGCTTTCTACATAGGTGAACATCAGAGGGTTGAACCTGGATCTGAACTATAAATGTGAACTCACATTCACGTCAGAATTGTCATATGTAGTCAGTGTCTCTCTTTGGGGTATGGGAAAGAGAATGTGATGTTTCAGTGACCCTGATAAATGTGTTGATGGGAGTTTCATCTTCTTCTTGTGCAAGCTGGTCACATAAAAGAATGGGGACAGAATCCTCTTTTCTGCTTGCGGTTACTTGGAATAAAAAATATATTCAGCTTTATGTTTTGAAAAGGTACCCCCAAAACTGATGTTCTGGGAGTTATAAACTAAAAGTAAACTAAACTTCCAAATCAATTCCTTTTATAGTCAAACATACTCCTCCTCAGCAAGGTTCAGTTTGTACTGAAATTATGGTAGTCAGTCAGTGAATACAAATGAGATCAAATGGATAACAGCTAAATACTTCTGTCTAAAGCAAATATGCTTGCAGATCTCTCAAGCAGAGAAGCTTGTGAAGCAGGATATAACTGTAATGCCAACAGAGTGAGAAGGGCTTTCAACACCCGCAATGAACCTGGGGGTAGGACACCCAGAAGTAAATGAGGAACCAGTGGAAATGGAAGAGATCCATGTGTGAGAAGGCTGCAGGGAGACTTCCACATCCCCACTTGGAAAGGATGTGTGCAGAGACAATGAACAAGGAGAGTGGGGAGCTGATGCGTAGTCAAAGGGCTGTGATTTGAGCAGCATCATGGGAACTTGGTGGGCTGGTGCACACTATGGTCATGAGTGGTTACAGGGTGTTTAAGAAGGCTCAGCAGGGAAGAAGAGGAGTGAGCATTGCATTCTGTATAAGGAGCTCATTCCCTGCACAAAGCTTGTGTATGAATGTGGAGAAATACTCCTGAAAGCCTATGAGTCAAGGTCAGAGGAGGGAGGAACGCTAGTGCTGATTAATGACTGTGGTGGGGAATCTGTTACAGACTGCCCGGTCAAGAGAATAAATTTGATGGGCCTGTCTATAGAGGGCTAAGAAAATTCGTTTTGATTTGAGGCCTGGGTGTTCATGGATGTTTTATCCATCTGGAAATCTACTGGAAGGGGAGCACAGCATTGTGAAAGCCTAGGCAGTTTCTAGACAGCATTAGTGATAATAGTCTAAAAGCAAATGCTAGAGGAGCCAATCACAGTAAATCCCTATTTCTGCTGCTCACAGACATGGAGAAACTGGTGGTGAGCATCATCTGAGGCTGCAGTGACTATGAAATGATTTCAGGATCAGGAGAAAGGTTGCAAAATTATGCTGCAGAGCTAGGACTTGGGACTTCAGGAGACCAGACTGTGACTTTAGGGAACTGCTAAGAAGAATCCCTGGGAAACTGCCAAGAGGGGAAAAGTGCAGGAAAGCTGATTGATTTTTAAGGAAAACTTAAAGAGATTTCAAGATCAACTACCATGTTATGCATGAAGACTAAGGAGTTTAGCAGAACCTTGGCCTTGCTTGCCTTAGCAAGGAGCTTCTTAAAGGACTAAAATACAAAAAGAAAGACTGCAAGTAGTGGAAACACGGACAGGCAACAAACGTAGAGTATCAGAGTTCAGACCCATAGTGATGAAGTTAGGAAGGCCAAAACCCAGCTGCAGATAAAACTAATACAGGACACAAAGGGTAAGAAGGTGAGTGGACACTGAATGGTAGAGCTTCTGTGCAGAGACACCTCTGACAGGAGGGCCAGGACCTCCGGTAGTCCTCTGTAACCTCTGCAACAGTTTCCAGGAGGAAGTCTGCTAGTTTTGAACAAAGAAGAAGAAAACCTGATAACTATACTTTTCATGAATCCACTAATTTTGTTCTTATTAAGGACACTGTAATTAGAGTGAACCAAGTTACTGAATATGGTATGAACCAGAATCCCCATTTGACATAAGTGTTTATCACCATTAACAGTGCTTCATTTCGGAGGGGTTTAGCTGCTTGCTGTTTTGGATTAAATTTCTTCCATTTTTTTCCCAGTTTCTGGGCAATGTTCACATTTCCTGTTTCCCTGGAGACACAGTAATAGAAATTTATTGCCAAAGGCTGCACTGTTTCAAATTGCGAAGTTTGAGCATTTGAAAACTAAAATGAAATACAAATAGTTGCATGCTTTTACAGTTCTATTTACTTCCAAACCACACGTTTCTTCCTGGGAAAAGTAATCTTTGTGGGTCTACTTTTACTAACATCTTCTTTAGCAGGAGGAGCTGCAGCTCTTGCGGGATGAAAATATCAGGCTAAGCAAGCTGGTGTGTAAGCTAAAAGCTCTGAACTGTTGGAAGCAAACCACTCAGAAGGCACAGCTCTCTGCAAAGCTTAGAGATGCTGAGAAGGTGATTATTTCCTTACCATTTAATCTGCTATTAGTGTCTAATTTTCTGCAAAACTATTGGTCAGATTGGGCAGGCTCACTGTTACTCAGTGAGCCTATAGGAGCTCATTGTAACTGCAGATTTTAGGTACAAATTCTAAACTTTCCCCCCCTGTATGTTATGGTTGTAATGGTGGCCTTCAAACATGAAGAGCGTGAAACAAATCCCTGATGCTTGTTTGAAGCAAGAGTTTAGCAAGTGCAAGTAGCCTATAGTATTTCTAATTCTGCTCTTGAGTCAGTCTTATGACATTGTATCAAAATCACCTGTTTCACAACTGACCAAAACATATGAAAAAGAAGACAGGCAGACACAAAGTGAAAATGAACTAGGTTGTTGGTTTGGGAGGTGTCTGAGATTTGGGTTGGTTTGTTGTTTTTTTTTTTTAATTGGCATCTGCTTAAACAAAGCAGAACACAGCATGAGGTTTATAAATTTAATTACAGAAATACAAGATGAAGCACAAAAATGACTAAATTAAACTAAAGTGAAGATGGATGGAAAGAAAAGTGCCTCACTGCTTTAAATGAGGCTGATTAGAATGGAACAAACAGGTTATTGATTGTTGCATAGGTTAATTAGCTGCACATGTCAAGCAAAGGAAAAGCAGAATGGATCATATTTGCTAACTTTAAAAGACTGAAAACAAAATTATTTTTGTGTGCTTATTAATTTTAAACCCAAATAAAACTGGATGTGCATACACTTAGTTCAGTCATATCAGGGAGATGCTAAATCATTAGAATATTTTATTAAACAGATCAGTCAGAGATGAATTGAATTATTGCAAATTTGTGGATTTAAATAAGAAATAAAAGCTAGCTTCATGGGATTTAAAAGAAAATTCTGAAACTGAGAAAAATAAATGGGAAAATTTGGCTTTTTAAAGTTAGAAACTGGCTTATATTGCTAAGACAAAGCTTTCATGTGTCTGACTTTGGAATGACCCTGAAGATCTAAGAACTTGTATTTCACTGTCCTCTGCTCCAAGTGCAGAGGATCCTGGACCTTGCTCTTCCCAGTTTAAATGGCTGGGAAAGGAGAGAGGGCTGCTAAATCTGTGCCTGACATAGCAACATGTATATACTTACACGTTTATGTTTGTGTTTAAAACAAACAAAAATACCCTGCCCAGAAGGAAAAAAACTTCAGCATGCACATTTTTACTTTAGAGATAATGAAGGAATAAATAGATTAGTAGATTGACAGGTCTTTCTAATGCATAAGAAAGACCAAATTTTGCATTGCCTGAGCTTGCTTGCACACAAGAACCTGAATTGTTGGCATGTGAATATAACTGAAGATGTGCAGTTTTACCCATACAAAAGATTATGTCTTCCCCTTTAGAGAGCTCCACTTGTCCATCCTGTTCCCCACTTTGCCTTAAAAAATGTTCCAGCCTTTATTAGAAAATAGATACGATTAAATCCCACTTTACTAAAGATCTCCAAGAGATTTACCTTTGAAGAAACCCACTGCTATATAAAAGAGAGAAAATTGCTACTCTCATCATTGTTTCTGTTATGTACTTTCTGTTCACAGGAAGCTCTTCAAAACAAAAAAGAGTGTCTGAATGCTAAAATGATGGCAGAACAAGAGGTGACTTCATTGCAGGGGCAGCTCCTGTCTGTAAGAAAAGCTCTTGCAAAATCTCAAGCAGACAATGACAAGCTAAAGAAACAGCTACATAATCAGGTATCTGAATTCAACAGGTCCTGATTCATCAGCTCAACAAGCTGAATTCTCCCCTCCATCTCACTTCCTTTGTTATTCTACAAGAGAAATGGATTTAAAACTAACTGCATAATACAGTTACGGAAGCTGGATGTGTATTTAGTGGCATTAAAACAATGCATTTTCACCATTGCAGGTAGAGAGAACTAGGGAAAAAAATGTATCTTGTATAAAATGACAGCTACAGGCACTACATTTATATATGCCATCAACAGTGCTGGATGTATGTTTTAGTAGAGAAAAAGATTCTATTAATATTTTATTCCACAGATTAAAAAAAAAAATAAATTACAGATATTGAGGTTATTAGTCTTCCACTCAAACATTAAATTTCAAGGAAACATTCAGAGATGTTGTCATTAAATCCAGAACAAATTCATTACATGTGGTTTTTTTCCATCTGAACACATTCGTGGATTTATCAGTGCCACAGCAAGCTGCCTTTCACTACACATGGCTACACATGCTGAAACAACCCATTTCTCAAAGTGAAAACCCTTCACTTGCAATATACTTAATGCCAAGCAGCATTACGGTATGGAAAATGAGTCTTGTCAAACCAACCTCATTTCATTCTGCTGATAAGATTACAAGTTAGATACATAAACATAATGCTAGAGATTTAATACATATTTGGAAGGGCCTTGTAATGCTTGGGTTAGCAGGACATAACTTTTGTATTTTAAATTTTAGTATTACACGATATCAATAAAATGCTAAATGGATTGAGAACTAGATTTTTTGACATATAAAAATGTGTTATTTTTATTAAATGAAGATTGTTTCTGATGGATTTTTACTGGGGTTGGTAGCAGAACTATCAGTATTCAACATTTTTGTCAGTAGCTTGGAAATAAATATAAAATTACAGATTATAACATCTACCAATGACATATTTGAGGATGAATGTTAGTGAATTTGATAAGGCATGTTTAGTGAATAATGATGTGGCCAGAGCAGGAGTACAGAATCATACAGATAGCTTGGTAACTAGTTTATCCCTTTAAGAAGTATTTCAGTGCCTGAGTAGATAAAGAACAAGACGAAAGCAGAACTTGTATGGACCAGGGTGACTGCATCCCTGGACAGGGCAGGGATTGTAACAGACAGATGACTGGCCATGTAGTGTGGTACTGGAAAGGATGGATGCTGCAATTTTTTCATTTATAAAGAGGATAATAGTGCAGATATATTAAAAATGAGTTTGTAGCTCTGAAATACTGCAGCTGGTTCCAGAATGTAGTAAAACAAGATGAAGAAAAATTGAGAGAGTGCAGAGAAGAGTTACAAAAATTATCTGAGGGCTGCAGGAAATGCTTTCCAGCAGAGGACTCTTAAAAGGCTCCATCTGTTTATCCTATCTGAAAGAAGAGTGACTTGTTAACAGATATTGTTATTGGGAGAGAATAGGAGATATTAAAGGGTTCTTAGGGAAAGGTATAGCAAGAGGTGGTGCCTAGAAGTTGAGGCCAGACAAACTGAAAATGGGAAATTAGAAAAAACATTTTCAAAATTAGATTAACTGTGGAAATGACAATATGTCTAACTGAGTATCTTCAAGTCAAGACCAGATGCCTTTCTGGGAAACATGGTTTAGCCAAACCAACTTGCTCATTCCAGTACAAGGGTAACTAAGGTAAATTAAAAACTAAGGTGATATTAAAAAATCACATCTGGTGACCTGATTGCTCCATTCTGAGCTTTATCAGTCTATGAAACTCCAACCTTAGAAAGGCTTAGAGAGCTCCCCAATGAAAAATATTTGGACTGTGACTGCTTTTAGCTCTTTGTGTTCAGATTTTTCACCAGAGTAGAGTTGCCTTTGGCTGGTAAGTTGGTTTTCTTCACTGATGTCAGTTTACTTCCAAAACACCCACTGCATCTACCATCTTTCTAACAGCTGCTTTTGTTGTTGTCGGTGGTTTGATTTTTCTTTGGTTTCTGACATCAGCTTCTGGTTCTTTCTCTTCTTCCTAATTTATTTTCTTGATACAGATTGTGATGATGGTGTTTACAGAGAGCGGACTCCATTCCACAACCCTTGGCTGTATAGGAGGGCTTGACCTGATATAGGTGGCTTGTAATACCATTGCATTCAACTGTAGTACAGATTTTAAAATGTAGCCATACTTACTGGCTGTCTCTACAAACTGTGTATAAACAGCAATGTTTGAAAAAGCTGTGCTCATTTCCCCCCTCTCTTTCCTTGTTTATACGTTGTTTTAAAAACAAGTTCCACATGCAGACCAGAGGCTGCTTGCAGAAAGCAAATTACAGCAGACTGAGGAAATTGGAAGCAACTGCCTTCTTGTTTATTTGCAATTGAATGAGTGCTACACATGAATGTTGTTTTGAGGCTTCTCTCTCTATCAAGCAATGATGTAAATACAGCATTCTGTTCCCACCCCCCCTTACCCTTCCCTTGCACTCCCTGTTCCCACAGCCCAGATTTTATTTTGGGTTTAGGTCTGACTGTGGTCCTTTCATAACGCCACAGGATAATTCAGATTTGTTTACCAACATTTCATTATCTTCAGTACCAAGCCATGTGGGACTGGGTCTCTCCTCATTCAGCTCAGCTGGGCATGACATCTGAGGACTGGTCATCAGGGTTTAAAAGGAAATCTAAAAAGGTGTGCATGGGAACTGGGGTAGAGTAATCTAAGTTTGGAACTTTAATGATTGCATGTTATAGAAACAAATGCTGTTGGAAGTAATACAGAGGAAGACATAAGAAGCCAAGAAAAGACAAGTACTCACTGTGACAAAAGCTGAAAACATTGAGAAGATGCTTGAAAAGATGGCAGAAAAAGAGCAGAGAGTGAAATGCCTAACCAGTGAAGCTGAAAAATCTTCTAAAACATGCCATCTTCAACAAAAAGAAGTCAAAAAAGAAATGCAGCAGGTAAATTCATAACACAGATTTGAAAAATAAAACCAGTAGCATTTGTGGAGAGATGTGTCAAGTTTTAACACTGTCTGACCACACCTGAGTGTATCCCTTTGAGTGTCTGAATTTCAGAGCTTCCCTGTAGCCAGCCCTCCAAGTGCTGTGGATGAGGGTCTTGCATGAGCCTTGGGACTGTGCTGGGCTCTGCCTGCTGGGTGCTTAGAGGTATGTTCTACCTATTGGTGGCATCTCAGGGCCTTCCTGTTGAGCCTCATTCAGTATCTTTGCTCTAAAGAGTATTATTCTCCTTATCTTAAACTGCCTAAGAGTTTGTGTAAGATGCAGTGGGAACAAGTGTGTGGTGCTAGACAGAACACACTTGCCCACCTGGGGGGACTGGAGGGGTGCTAGAGCAGCAAGAGGCTGGGCTTAGTGGCTCTGAAGGCTTCGGCCAGCTGTGCATCCCCTGTTGGGATGTTCCCCTGAAGTGTGCCCCAGGCCTCTGCTGTAACCCCTGTCCTTGTCACTAGACTTAACAGGGAGCTTTGGAGCTTCAATCAGGCTCTGCCACCCTGCTGGGGCCACGTTCATGGGTCTGTAGTGCCTGTTGCTTTCCTGGCCCTCCCTATGACTCCTCCACAGCAGGGCTTTGATACCATTGCTGTCGAGCTGACAAACTGCTGTCCTTTTTTGCTTTATCTACTGCGCATTTCACATAAACCCTCTGCCCTTACCTCTGTTTCACATTCATTACACCACTTTCCCAAATTCTGGGCTACCACATAAACATATTAGGAAGAGAACTGCTTTAATCCAGTCGGGTCACAAAAATGGCATTAGTTTTCATTAAACTGATGCACTAAGTTTAAAACTGTTACTGTATTGCTAATAATTGATTTAGTGTAACTGAGTAACCAGACCCACTTCTAAGATTATCTCCCTCTAAAAGGGATGGTAGAGCTTTAACTACTTCAATTTGAAAACTGATTTGGCCAAGTAAATACAATCTCTGTGTTTAGCACAGCTGGTAGAGTGAGCTCTTGGCTGTGAGATGTGCAGTGCTTCTTTCGTAGTTTAGCCTGCAGAACAAAATACTGTTTGGCAACCACTTCATTAGACTTTAAGTAGATGAATCCATCTACTAACTGACAGATTTGCTGCCACTGAAGTCTCCTTGCCCTTGCCTTCTTGGTTTAGAGAGAAAAAAAAGCTTTGTAAATGTATCTGAATGCCTCTCCTGTAAACCAAGCAAAGTATATTCTGTCTTCAATCTTTTAAAGCATCAAGGTGAAATCACGGCTTGTTTGTTTTCCAGAGTCAGGATGACAAACGCCATTCTGCTGGGATTAATTTCTCAGGCTGCTGGCATGTTTTCTAACTAAAATCTTGAGAGACTTACACAACCAAAGAAGTTGGTGTAGGCAAGACCACTGATTTAATTGGTGACTGTCTTAATGGGGCTCTGAGTTGTTTTGCTGTGTTTACAAAATAATCCTTCAAGAGATCAGAGATGTCAACAGATGGATCAGCCCTTGAGGAGAGCAGAAGGGAAAATGGCAACTGCAGTGTGGGGGCTTTTATTGCCACACAACAGTCTCAGCTGCAGCTAGCACCTACCTGGTCATTAACGCAACCTCTATATTTAAACTTAGTTAGCAAATTACAGAATCTGTGGGATAGATGAGGGAACAGCTGCTGTTTTTTACCTCTGCCCTGAAAATGGAGGTAGGGTCTTGTCTAATTAGGGATTACATGCGGAGAACAATGAGAAAAGGCCTCTGCATTGTTTTTATCTTCCTCAAACAATGCCTGAAATGTAGATTCCCATTAAACAATAATGAGGATGTCATTTTGCACTATTTGTGCTGTATTTTGCCTTCAGAGGGATTATGGATATGGGTATGGATGTTTAGCAAAAATGTAATTATGGATTATTTCAACCAGCAAGAAGTGACGGCCTCTCATTCACAAGAGTGCACAGGGCAACATCTTTCTTTTTTAAATCTAGGCCCCTGCTTTGAGGCAGAGCTGTCAGATGATGAAATTTTGTTGCTGCCATTAATCCTTTTACCACCTTTTAGATCAGAAGCCAGTTAAGCCAAGACTGCAGTTTAAAATGGGAGGCCTTCCAGGAGGCTGATGAACTGCAGTCTCAAGTTTATGACCTGGAAGCTGCAGTTTCCCAGAGGAATGCAACTGCAGGTAAAGACAGGTTGTGTGTTGTAACCTGCTTTCTTGGGCAAGTGTCTTATCAGTTATGTGGCCATGTCTCTCAATCCCCCCTTAACCTTTGAAGCAATAGGCAACTTAAGACAAATATGAAAGAGAAGACATTCTCTGTAATGAAAGCATTTAGGTAAAGGAGAAAGACTTAAAACAATCTTGAGGAAAAGTCAGACAACTCAAAAGTCGGATGCCTTCTTACACCCCAGCTGCTCAAGGAGCACAAGCAACACCGACTCCCAAGTTAATAACTTTAAACCATAACTTGTGTTGTCTTTCTGCTTTGTAGGGCTATCATGGGAAATATGAGGGGAGCTGCATCTAGGGAAGGAGGCAATTAGGAAACAATGGATCCTAAGTGGTAGGAAATCAGGCTTCATTATGGCTGCGGCCTTGGAACAGCTTACTTGCAAATTATGTAGGGCAGCCAAACAAGACTGTACCCTTGTAATGTGGATACATGCCTATGATTGCAGGTATCTTCAAAGGATCTCATAACAACAGTGAGAGCTTTCTATCCTTTAACTGAATTAACCCAGAACTTAAACCTTTAACAAAAATATTTCTCAGATGTTTGTTAGGTAACTTTTTTAACATAATGCTTACATGATTCATGTAGCTTAAAAGCTTAATTAGGGACTTCTAGTCCTACCTGCCTGAAGTTGCTGCTTTTCTCTGTGGTATCAAAATCCTACTGTCAGCCTGACAAACACATGCAGAAAAATTGATGGGTCATACCTAAATTCCTAGTAAACAGGAAAAAAACTCCAATGATCTTTCAAGGTGCATTTCTATGCCATAAAGAATATAAAGTACTTAATTATAGTTTCCTTCTGCAGGAAAATGTTATTTATTCCTGCCAAAGAAAAATGAGAAATGATCATTAGCACACTGCGAAGACAAGACATGAACCAAACACGGGGAAATAAAGAACAGGGAGGTAGCTTTAATTAATGCACAAATATACCTGGCTTCTCAAGTACCAATCAAGTTAGGGGGGAAAAGTTGGTACAAAACTTGTAAGTCACATTGATGCTACTGAGCACAAAGAAAGCAGCTGTGACAGAAAGGAGATGAATTTCTTTTCCTGCAGAGAGTTACCATTGTTAAACATGATGCAGAGCTGGAAAAATTGGCGGAGAGGCCTGGATTTCTCTACACTCAACAAGGAAGTTCCATCAAACTATAGACACCTAGTCTGAAATGCGTTAAAACTCTACAGTGTATTGTAGCTACTTTTTTACTTGTGATTCTTTTACTCCTATGTCTGTAATAGTAGATGGATGTTGTAAGGTTTGGTGGTATTTCTTTTTTCCTTTCAAAAAGGTAGAAGGAAGAATGCAGTGCTGTGGTCCCATAGTACAAACAGTATAAGAAGTTATTTTCCAGGTAATAAGTCAAAATGAAATAGCTATCATTTTTTATGCATTAATACTAGTACTTTTCATAAGGCAATCCAGACTTGCATCATGTAAAGATTTGTCTTTTCTATTAATCTGAGTTGCACTCTGTCACTAACCTGACTTCAGACCTATAGTGTTTGGCCAGACCTATTTGTATAGGGGTGGCAACTGTTGCTTGCAATAGCCCCATTTTCACTGTAAAGGTGAAGGTGTTTTTCAAACAGGTCATGTCAACTCCAGTAACTGCCCACATAGATTAAGACTTCAGCCAGTTTGTAAAACTCATCGATTAGCAGTCTGAGCCATGTCCTCTAGCTTTTTCCCCACTCCTCTTTTATCTTCACATCTTCCTTTTCTTCCCTCTCAAATGCACTGAGGCATGGCCTATCTCAGTAATGTAAAACAGTTGCTGCTCTTCTTTCTGGGTTCATGTGAGGCTTGTGTAGTCAGTCCTCTCAAGCCCCTGCTTCAGGATGCATGGACATGGAATGCAGTCTGACCAGACTGGGTAGTTGTGCACTCTGGGCAGCTGCCAGCTGCTCTCCTGCAGCTTCAGCAGACAGCCAGGGTCCCTTGGACACGCACCCTGAAATAATGCCAGAAACAGCTAACCAACATGGTTTGAAAGATCTTGTATCATATCTGAGAAGGAGGAGGAACACTGTCTCAACAAGTGCTGGATTACAACTACAGGGCAAAAATTCCTTTTTACCTATAGTGGGAAAAGTTACCATAAAGTTAAGAACCGGTATAGCAACACCACATTGTCCATAGATACAAATCAGGGTTAAATCACATTATGGCTGATAGCAAGCATAACATCTGATTCAGTGGGGATTTTTTTTTTAGCACCTGAAGGGTTGGTATTAAGCAGCTCCATCTCTGCTTTTCAGAAATCTACAAAGATGAAGACTGGAATTCACTAGGGAATTTAGTGTCACTGGGAACAGATCGTTAACACCCACCACCAACTTTTAATCTTGGCTTTCAACACAGGACCGGGAAAGACAGAGTTGGGGGGAAAATAGTCACATACAATGAAGTAGACTTGGGGCAGCAAGAATTTTCTGCTTCACTGAGATGTCTCCTGCTGGACAAATGAATGCTGATATAGTCATTACGATGAATGGAAAGGGTATGGGGCGAGCTGCAAAAATTGCAGATAGTTGCAAATAGTTTTTTAAAAAAAGTTGCAACTATCCGCAAATAGTTTTTGTTCCACTTTGTGTCAAGATAAGATCATCCATGAAGCACTTTTTCCAGACTAAGCAATCTATTATTCTATCAGTACTATGCTGAGTGTTCACAACTTGGTTTGGGTGGTTGTTTTTTTTTTTTTATTTTTCACCCTAACATTTTGCTTAGAGGTCAGAAACAACAGCTTTTGCATTTACTTGAGTTCTGATTTAACTGTGTTGTTGGTAACACTCCAGGTTCTGCAGCTCAGGTCCAGGGTAACAAGCTTTCAGCATCTACTCAGCACAGGAATTACCAGCAGCATCTTTTGAATTTTGACCCAAGAAGCAGAAATGAAACAGGAGGAAATACTCAGCGACCAAAGACAGTAAGTAATGGTGGCAGAAATAAGCTGACAGGGTTGCAAAATGAGTAACTTTGCTAGTTTGCAGGCTGTGATTCATATATATACACAGGCAGGTTTCATTTGGGCAGTAAGTCAAATCCCTTTGAAGATTTATCATTAAGAGTAAAATGACCAGTATGTATGGCTAACAAACAGGAAAAAAAAAAAAAGTTCCAAAAATTAAGAGGATGGGAGGGAAGTAGTTTGTTAACAATGGTCCAGGGAAGATTTTTTTTTAGTACCACACCATGGTTGGTGACTCTTTTTATATGTTACTTATGCTTTCAGGTGCCTAGCAGATGGAAGGAGAGAATGGCAGATAGGCTATTAACCACACCTAAATGAAAAGTCTCTTCCTACTGTCTTCAAGCAGCTGCAGAAACAAAGGCTGGTCCAAAAGTAAACCTAAATGTATTTTTAAATCAGTTCAGAGTATTTTAGAAAATGCTACCAAACTGGCAACTTTGAGGTATGAGAAGAGCAATTTATATACAAATCAAAGAGAGGCAGTGATACTCCAGTGCTGTGATATGTACTTCAACATACTTGGCTGCAGCATGCAACACCAGCTCTGGTCAGTTAACCTGCTCATCCCTTTTAGGTACTGGGTGGTGCAGATCCTCCTTCTGAGCAAAAGCAGCACTGTCCTCCCTTCAGACAATGCAGAACAGTATGGAAAGGCGAGGATATCAGTCAAAACTAAAAGGCTTCCTTTTATTGTGGTAACCTTGGAACATAGCTATACATTGCACCACTAACTTCTTAGAGCAAAAGCATTGGGTCTGGTATGGGGTTTTTTTATTGTTTTTTAACTGCTTTTCTATTGCAACCCCTGACCACCCCCTCCTGCCCAATGAAATGCTCTCACCCCCAGAGGCTGCTGCCCTGTACACTGAACCTGTCATGACTGTTTAAAGATGACTCATCAAGCGTCAGCATTTCCACCTTCCCTAGCAACTTCTCTGCCCTCCCCTTAGAAAGAGGAAGGGCAGCTCCTTGCACAATGCTACATTAAAAAAAAAAAAAAAAAAAAAAAGCATAAATTCATCTGCATTTCTGTTGCTTGGAAAAAAGCTTGCTTTTAGAACCTAGCCAATAAAATACTCAAAATTGTCTGTCAGATGTGTCAAATTGTACTGCAACTTTCGATGAGTTAGTATTCTAGCCTATTTGCCTTGTAGCATCATCCACATCCTTGTGATCAATGCTTGTGAACATGAATAATCAAAAACCTCAGCACTCTTTTTATAACTAAGAGAATTAAATTCAGGCAACCTTTAACAGCACAGCATTGCTGAGTAAAAGAACTCTAACTTATGTTAGAAACACTGCAGTATTTACAGAGGATTCCTAGAATAAGGCTGACATCCTTCATCAGTACTAAAACAAGCTTTATTTCATTCAAGCTTACTGCTACATCAAAACAAGTCACAGTATGTTCAAAATGCTGTGGAATTAGTTATCAAACAACATGAGTTCTTTCTAAGGTATGCCTTAAATGAATGACAAGGTGATTGATAACTATCCAAGGTCAGCTGTCACTAGAGAAGCCATCAAATGTGATTCCAGCATATTCCAGAAACCAGATGCCAATTTGGAAGTCAAATAATATCATCAGTATGAAGCACTTATGTGCCATTGCAGCAGTAAAAAAGGGCTGTCTCTGGCTAATTATGATTCTTGATAAAATACTTCAAGTATTACTCGATACTGCAAAATTCAAATATGATTTCTGAGTGAATGCTATACTACAGAAGACTACAATCAAAGACCAGCAGTAACACAAGACTGGTACTGTAGGGATAAGAAATTTCATGAACATAGGCTTTCAGTGCTGCATTGTAAGAAAAAAAACTACGACTGCATGCAGTAAATGGATGATTTTCTGGAAGACATAGCAATTTTAAGCACATCAGGAAGCTCTTTCCTCCATTTCCACAGTCTTTCCAGAAAGGCTACTGAAGTTTTTGCTATTTCCCATAACATGAGCCTGAGTTACTGAGTACTACCTAGTGACACATTCACACTTCATTCACTACCCACAAAAGCATCAAGGTCATGATGTGAAACTACTGAGGTTACTTTGCTCAGAGCTGGTTTTCATTTCAGTCAGTCTGCAACTACAGAATTGTACACCCTCTGTTCTCTTGTTCAAGCATGCTGACAGTATTCCCCAGCAAATATCCTCTTCTTTCTCGTGCAATCAGGAAAGAAATAGGGCTCAGAGTAGTATCTTGTTCACGAAGGTCAAAGATCTTTATGTGAAGAGATGCTACAATGTAGGGGTTATTAACAGCCTCCCTGAAACCACAGACTGCAGTCCCTCTTCCAAATTACAGGCTGACATCCAATATTATGAGCTTTGCTACTGGAAAGAGAAGCATTAAGCCTTACAGGTTGATGCAAGCAGAACACTTAAATGCCTTGCTGTTCTTCGGCTTTAAGAGAAGGGGGTTAAACTAACATGGAAAATGACCTGAGAATTTTTGGAGATTATTCTAAATCTGCATCAGTATTGTTGCACATACGAAACGCAACGTTAATACTGTAATTAGGAGAACTCACTTAACTCTTCAAACTTTTCATTCTCCCTCTTTCCCTATGGAGTTTCTCAATCCCTATGGAAAACAGCTCTTGTCTCCAGAAAGTCAGACAGCCCCCCTCTGGGATTGCTCACATTAAAAGAAATTTTACAAATAAAATTCCATTCAACAGATTTTATTTATCAATTTGGTTTTGTGATTACAACTCTTTCAGTTTTCTTCCACTGAAGACAAAATACAAACTTTACAGCAACACTTGCAGAGAACATTCATAAGATAACAGCTTGATATTTGCACAAGTTGGCTTCAAGAAAAAGCCAGATAACTTGAAGAGTCACTACAGTTCAGTGCCTAAAACTGATTTAGGGGCAAATACAACTACAGATCTACGAGCTACCTTCCACTTCAAAATACAAGGCCAAGAAAAACTGCAAGTTGTTACTTCAGGTTTTTTGCTAGTACACAGCACACATCAGCTGATACTGCCATTTCACAAGGGAGTACTTACTTTCTATAGTGCAGCAGCCAAGCACACGGTGAAGATGTACAACCCAGCCTCCCCTCCCCCCAAACAACTGAAAGGGAAACAATCCGAGACTCGATGCTGTAAACTGTGGATTACACCTTGCTGGCAAGGCTAATGAGCAAGAGGTGCATAGTGCAGGCCTTCCAGAACATGACTAAATTGATACAGTACAAGCTCGAGTTTTTCAGATTGGCATCTGTACATGTCAGAGATCCTGGGTTTCCTAAAGTCTTGGAAAGTAGCAATTGCTGGCACCAAGAAAAATTTAGTAACTAAGGCAAGGTATCCCTTCTACCCTTTTAAAGAAAATTTGAGGCAAAAGATTAAGCAACTTTAAGGCACTTTAAAAATTATTTTTTAGTTTGCTTTACCAGCATACTTTATCAGCAACCTAAATCAGGATCATCATAGCTCATAAATAAGCATTTTAGCAACATTTTACAGAGCAACAACTTTTTTATGGCAATGTCTTTCATGCTATGAAGTGTTCTGTGGCACTTTCCTGAAACTTTCACAAAAGATAGCCCTTTGAGGCCAAAAAAAATATTATATACTAGGCATACAGTTTGTTTTGCTGAGCTGAAGGAGAACTGTCGCTGTAGAAGACTATTTTGCTCACTTCAAAGCACAAAATACAAGCTCATGGATATCTTTTTAAACAAATGTAATAGAATAGTTCTGAAATAGGGAAAGGACAGATTAAGTGATTTCACAATAAAGCCAAGGATATACCACCTAACCCACACACATACTGTTGCTGAAAACTGGCTGCTCACTCTGCTGTTTTAATAAACCTGAGCTGATTGTCTTTATATTTAGAAAACCAATAGCTAATGAACTCAAAAGATACAGTACTGGTAACTTATTTTGTAGCAATTTCAGTCTTCTGTGCAGCACAAAAGAAACAATGCCATTCAGACTAGAACAACACAAGAAAGCAACACTGTGCACTTGAAGTTTCCAACTGAAGTGCACTTAATTTGCTTTATATTCAAGTTCTATTGCCATGACTATTATCTGCATTGATGTGATAATTTTGTAGTGGGTGCCAAATTCCAGTCAAGTCGCTAGTAAAGACAGTACTACAGAAATTGATGATCAAGGGATATAATCAAAAGCTATGTATTATGTGCTACATCCTACACCACTCCATTTTATCATTACTTCCATTTTTCCTGTGGGTCTCTTTTCACAGGTGTTCAAGTCAGTCTACAGAGGACATGACGTACCTTTGATACTCAGATTACACGGCTGATTCAGCCAAGGAAAAAAAACAAACCACCAACCCTATTTGGCCAAGTAGATTTCCTTAATCAGTTCGCTGCAGGGTGACACAAAAAAAAAAAAAAAAAAAAAAGGTGCAGCCCTGGAAGCCCCAGGACTACAGAAATCCTGACCAAGATCAAATCAGCAGATCCTCTGAACTACCCTTAACTGCTCCTTAAGCAAGCAGACATACTGGAGGGTAAAAGAAAAAAACCCAAACCACTGAAATTAACTGTAACAAGTTTAAGATCCTTTTTAATAAAAACCTCAGGATTTCAAGTACAAATCTAAGTTGTTGCCGCCTCATACAGGGAGTGAACTGAATTTTATCACTAGTTTTGATTGGTCTTTCTAGGCCAGAAAAAAAAAAGGTAAACAACTTAAAGCTTCTGTTTGTAGTTGAACATTACTGTACCCTGTTCCCTCACCCTCAAACTCAATATGGGACAGTTAAATTTAATGTAAGAAAGTCTTTAAACTGGAATGTTCGAGTCACATGTATTCCATTCTCCTATATGAAGCTAGTACTTAATAGTCTTATATTGGATATAGGTGGGATGTTTTTGCAGCCTAGTCTTTTAAGGCACTAATCTTCATTTCCCCTTTAGAAGGACTATCCCTACATGCCTTCTCCATCCTCAACATTAATTGGAAAGGGTACAGGATTTCTGTTTGGAATGCAGTATTTTATCAGGCAACCTTTATTCTTGTGTAAAAAAAAAATTATGGGCTATGTTATTCTGTTAAGACATTATCTACTTCTACAATTTTGTTCATCTTTCTAGCAGCACGGTGTAAGAGCCACAAGCTAGTATAAATGGTGTTTCACTCCCTGAAGTCAGTTCCCAATAATTCACATCTTGATAAAACTGAAGGGATACTGTATCAAGTGTTGATTAAATTAGCCTTCACAATAAGTCATCATGAGATTGTCTACTCAAGACACTGAATAAGAATCTCTGAATGTCTACATTTGGCATATCAAAAAAAGTCCCACAGCAGCAGCCACTAAAGGAAAATAAGACAGCCATTAGAACCCATGCAGCATATTGCAAGTAATCCTGTTGAAGAAATTCGCATTACCTCTTGCCAAGTATAATGTTGCAAAAATATTCTTTTAAAGTCTTCTTTTAGAGATTTAAATGATATTATGAACTGCTGTCTTCCACGAGCAACAGAAAATATTTTGGTTCAGTGAACTATAGGTGTTGGGCTACTAGTCCATTATAAAGTGGAAGGTCCTAAAGTGTGTGATAGTTCCGGTCTTTCGACTTGCAGAATTTGTACAGAAAGAAAACAACAGCCTGCAGACCCAGAACAAGGACAATTCCACCTATGAAACTCGCAGCATCAAATGAAGATTTGCGTGAAGAAGGTGCAGGAGTCGCAGTAGCACTTGTACCTGTTAAACATCACAATAGAGTTCGTGAGTGCACAACAGTTTCACAGATTTTAGTATTGGCTTCCTTGTATTAAGAGTACTCAAAACATCCAAAACACCAATAAGAAAACAAAACATAATCAAAAGTAAAGACATGTCAGCAGCTGCATTTAAATTAGTGATACTGAAATAGCGATTAAATACTGTCTGTAGAAGGCTAGAGCTATTTATAGCCAAACTACTCTGGACCTCAATACTGAGCAAGTCCCAGCTGAACTTCACTTGTACTTCAAAAAGCCAAAGCTTTCCTCCTTTACACAGAAGTATATTATTGATATATGCTCACATTCAAAACACGTTTTCCAATCTCTGCTACTTGCTCCAGGTTTTTTTGGCTTAAATTCAAATTAAATTATTATCTTCCATCTACTGTACTTCTCTCCAAGAGTTATGCTTGAAGAAATCAGCTAAAGCTACAACATACGGATCTAGAAGTAGCAGCCATCTACTGATGGCTAGTTTTAAAGAGTTTTACTTCATGAGAGCTTTTCATGAAATAGCACATTCAGGACTGACGCCGAAATAAAATACTTCAGCTTATTCCCATCACTGTAGCTCAAACTATTTTAATAGGTATCCCATTATTGTGCTGCAAGCGAAAAACAAAATGCCACCTCCCAAGGATAAGTGAGTTAACAAGTGACTTCTAGTCACACTACCGAAAGCAGTCAGCTGATTCTGTTTGACCAACACCTTCCTGACTTTTAACATCTCACTAATTAGCATTGTTTCTCAGGGTATTACCTTGACACATACATGTATTACCTTAACAAAATTAGACATCCCAGAAAGTTAGAAGTAACAACAGCAGATATACCAATACTACTTTAACACTGTCACTTGTTAAGTCTTTCAAGATAATGCTTTTAAAGCAACACTAATTTCTAAGTATTTTTGCTTTAATTATGCCAGTAGTAGCAGTTACCTGGAATAATGGGTGTTGTGGTAGCTGAAGTAATGGTAGTTGAAGGTAGAGGAGCATGTGTAGTTACATTGGTGACATTAGCTGTTTGAGAAAAGACAGTATGTACATACCATAAACTTCAACAGAAAAGTTTGCAAGCACTGAAGTTCATATGTAAGTGATTTGTCTTGTTTTGCTTGAACAAGGATAAGCTTTGACCTCAGACTGTACCCCGCACAATACAGATGCTCAGCTGCATGGCACTAAGCCAAGTTTCTGCACAGAGATTTTTTTTCAAACTTGCATACCATTATCATCCAAATAATTCAAGGTTCTCCACAGATCAGTGATTCTTTGTTCAGACAAAACCACTTTTCTTTCAAGTACTAATATAAATGCTGGTATGTGAACAAGAATCAAGTTATCTGCTTCAAGACAATGGAGAATCTGCATCGAGGAAAAGGACTTTCATGAACCAGCCCTTAGAATCAGTTAGTATTTATTGTACTAAAAAAGTACTTAATGGAGTATCTCCAGACAGGAGATAAGCACTTACAGGACAGCAAAACTTGCTCTTTCTCCCCACCCCAAACACACTGTGAATGACATCACTGGAATAAGAAAACACTCACCTGTAGCTAGACTGACTCCTAAAAGCTCTTCTATTACCAGGCCAGAACACTGGGTCTCTGAGCACCCACCCTCCCCCTGCCCCAGATTAGTATTACTAAAAACTAACCGGTATTCCACTATGTGCTGGGACAAGTGCCACCATTCATAGGTTTACCTAAAGCAAATGTCACTACACTGTACAGTAGGCTGTTCTGAGCCTAATCAAATACCAACTCATTACCTCCCAGCTCCCTTAAGCAACAGATGCTTTTAAAGACGAGGGTTTTTTGTTTTGGTTTTCTGGTTATTTTGGTTTGGTTTTTGCTTGTTTGGGTGTTTTTTGGGTTTTTTCATTTTTTTAAGAACTCCACTGTTAAGATGGCAGCACATATAAGAATAGAACTGGGGAACAAAAAAATTACTCATATGAACTCACATTTAGTGGAAATGACTAATAATTCAGTTACAACTAAGCCAATTCTTAATTATACTGGAAAGAAGCATTTTCTCTGTTAAAGATTTTATAAAATCCAAGGTTCTTCCAAACCTTGGGACCATTTCTGTATTCCATACATCAGTGGTTTAGTAATCATGTTACTACAGTGACCTGCAGAAAAAGCCCTTGTCCTTTATTTTATTCACCATTTCCTAGTTTACTGCCATTCTATGTTCAGTGGTATTATATTACCTATAGTAGTATGAGCTGTGGTAGCAGAACCGGCTGTGGTAGTATTGGAAGACGCTGTGGTAGCACTGGAAGGTGGTGTAGTAGTATTGGAAGACAGTGTGGTAGCACTGGAAAGAGGAATACCTGTAGGATCTATAAAAGAATAAAGTGTTACGTTAAAGAGATTAATGACAGTATTTAAGTTAAAAAAACCCACCAAAAAAATGTAACAGCAGGCAGCTGACGTTTGGGAATTCATACTGCTCTGAGTTCTATTGTAGTTTTGGTTTGAAATTACAAAGCAGTTCAATGTCCAATCCACCACACTAGCAAAAGCTGCACCAGTGAGTATATGAAAAACCTCGTCACAAGTGGCCCAATCAAGCCAGTGTTCAACTGGGAACTCAAGATTCCTCAAAGCAAACAGAAGGGAGAAGAGTCCTATTGTACAAGCATAGACTGTGCATGCCCTACTCATTAGGAAATGAGGTATTCGGTACTGCTTCCCAACCTCACTGCAACTAAACCTGAACTTGACCTATCAGGTTCAACTAGAAATCAGAGTGGCTGCACATCTGAAGCAACATGGGGGAAAACCAAAGCATCCTCAAGAATCTGAAAGTTTTAGATAAAGCTTTCTGTTCCGAGAGCTGTTGCTGGTTGTAGGTGCTCTCAGCTTCAGCACATGCTGTAAAAAAACCCCAAACATAACTGTGAAGGCTTCTGCAACTTACTGTATTGAGTTAATCAGACACAGACAGCCTACTTAAACTGCTGCTTAACCATACACTGATATATCTGCAAGCTTCCTGCCAAAATACCAGTATGTCCTGAAGCCTTTAATGCTCAAGGTGATTTAAATGTTGTTATTTACATCGTGAAACAATTCACCATGGTGGGAAACCAAAGCTGTTTCTACAGAGATAGGCTGATATATCAGAATCTACATTCTCTCAGGTCTCACTTGCATCAAGTCAGTTTAGGTTCACCTTAATGTTTTTCCACATCAATCCTCAAATGTAGTGCTGAGCCATGACAGTGTAAGAGCTGATAAGGTATACAGGTTACTCTCACACCAACAGATATCCTCTACTGAAGGTACAATTAAGTTTCCTTGAATATGCAGAAGCTAAACTACAACAACCAGATAACATCACTACAAGTTTAACAGGAACAGACTGAAGAAATTCTATTCTTAGATATGGAGCAACACTCCCGATTAAGAGGCAATTGTTACTATTTCAGAAACAACAGAGAAATCTTAAGTGAAGCAGAATAATTTTTGACTGGCTGCTGCCCCCACCACCAGATAGCCCATAGCAGCATGGAAGCTCCATCTCTGTTGGTGTGAGCCAGTCTCTTTAGCAGCACTGTTGAAACTCATCTAGACAAGAGTATTAAGAATTTTCACTGGCTGTTCTAGAACTTAAATCCAGAAAGTCCTAATTTAAAGTGCATTTCTTGTGTGCTTTTAAAAAAACTAGAACTGGGGGGCTTTCATAAAAGTGAAATTCAAGATTTAATCTAAGTTATTCATATCCTGCAGATCTGCTTTGCACAAGCACAAGTTAATGAAAAGACTGAAGTAGATACACAACTGAGCACATTCCCAGCATTACGTAGTTCTGTAAATCGCCCCCTGCATTTCAGAAGTGCATGAAGAGCTGTGCTATTTTAATTGTTACAATTAAAACTGGAAGGTTCATAGGTTTTTCCTATTTACTGCATCTCTGATGAAGCAACAGACTCAGCAGGTGAAACTTGCATATGCTATATCTAATAGGAAGAATCACCTACTTTAATCTAAGAAACCACCGCAGTAGCCAGAGATGAGTCTAGTAAAATATGTCAGGCTTCTTGAAACAGCAACAGTAAGCAGTTAACTAAATGCACAACAAAATTGTGTATTTTAATATCACAGGTTTAAGCTGGCAGCAAAGGACTTATTTACATACTTGCACATGCTTATGTAAATTGTAGGAGGGTATTAACAAAGGTCAGCAGATGAAGTTGTAAACACTACTGCTTCACATTAAACAATGTGAAAGCTGAATATCTAAATACTTACAGGAACACTGTTCTTCAGCTGTACAGTTGTCATACTTTGGTGAATCTATTTCTGTTTCATTTACACACATGTGTTCTGTCAGAAAAGAAGAGACAAGACTATTTACAGCAGCAGAACTTTACAGCATTTGAGACATTGTTCCTAAATACTAATAAACTGTTCATTGGACAAACTAAACACCATCTTTAGCCAGAATAACAGTAAGACCATTTCAATATGCAGGACTTCAGTACTATATTAATTAGAAAAGTTTTGGTACTTTCTTTTCACTACAGTTACTCTACCACTCAAATCAACACTTAGGCAATATTTGTACATGGTTATGCACCATTTTGCAGTAACAGTATAGCTTGATGGTTTTTCTTCATAGCCTATAAAATTAGACAGTGTTTCTACTATTTGTGGCATTTTCCAAGTTAAACATTTTGTGTCTCTATGGTAGCATCATAAAAAAACTGTACTGTCTTAAATTGTACACGCAAGCAAAACTTAGTTCCAGCTTTTTAAACAGATCCTTGACCTTGAAATTGTGGAAGACATCAGTTTCTTTCTCTCTGCCTGCCCACCCTTCTCCCTTAACTCTGATTTCTACCTCTACCTCAAAGAAGTTACACAGATCTCTCAGGTTTGCAGTATGTGCCTATTGGTCAGGCAACAACACATGCTGAATTAAGAGCTTCTTGAAGGGCACTCTTGTAAGACAAGTTACATCCAAAATTAATTTCATTAGTTCCAAAGCATCTTAGCCTTCATATATAACCTTTCTTTGTCACCTACAATCAAGTGCTACAAAAATCACTATTACAGTAAGCCATTCTCCTTTTATTCTGGCTTCATTTCACATAAGTACAAATAATTCACCTGAAGACTACTTATGTAGCCTTTATTTGAATGTCAACAGCAATTGCGTCTCCTCCAGGACTGAGCACCAGAGGTCACCTAAATGTAGTTATATCCAACCCTCCCACAATGGGAAAAACGAGGCTCTGAATGAGACTAGCTAATGGCTCTGTCATGCTCCCTTCAATGGGTTGCAATTCTTAGTTTAGCAACACTACTCTTAACTAATGTTATTTAATGGACTCCTCTCTCTTACTGCACTTCTGGTTCAGCAGTAGTGATTGTGACCACCAGATCTACAACAAAACCTGCAAAAGGGACTGAAGCACAGGGACGTGCCTGCACGTCAGAATCTACTCATGGCTCCTTAACAGCAAACACAATCGACTAGTTTGTTCTAAAAACATTCTGAACCATGTGGAAAACATTAGCTCATCAACAGTACAGATTTAAGTCAGAAGCCTTAAAAATCTGGGATTATTTTGAACACATTTGGCTGTCTACATAAGAACTTGAAACACTGAACAACAGATACAATTTATGAGTTAATACCGCAGTAGGTTATCAAATAAACGTGTATTTGTGTAATCAACACTATAGATGAAGTAGGTCTATTTGGGTTTAAGGTTCTGCATGGCATAGTATGGATCTCCACTGTGTATCTTCCTTACTTTCGCATCTGATCCACTTGCAGCCTGCTACATTTGTGTCATTACCAATATGAAAAAAAAAAAAAAAAAAAAAGAAATGCATTGATTAGGACAATATTATCACTGTCAAGAGAGCAATTTCACCTGCAGAAGCAATTCTCAGATCCGTACCTTCCCATATGTACATCTCCCAGGTTAAGGCACAATCCTTCTCGCTGAACTAACTACAGCTCAGAGTCACAGCCTGGAAATGTATTTATGTCCTATCAAATGCATTCCTCTCCAGACACTACCGATACTCCTAAACCAGAGGTCACATGCATACTAAGATTTTGCCTGATGTGACCTCTTAACTACAATAAACTCAGACAATAAAGGATATACTACTCTAGTGAAGTTACCAAAGTTCACCAAATGAATTTTGCAGAAGTTCAGTGAAACATCAGATGGCAAGAGCCTTGTTTCTTTTGACTACATTATTCCTTTAGGTAATACAGCCAGCTATAAGCAAGCCTACAGTAGAAAGCAACCAACGTATGGGAAATAAAGATGAGAACTTCATATAGAAATGCATATAAATGAGAACAGAAAGAAAGTCAATCTATTAATATTTTGATCACAGCAGAAGCCAGCAACCTAACCAGTCCAGCTGCTTTTTTATCTCAATCTCAGTCAAACATTGTTGCCTTAAAACCACAATGACAACATATCCACTATCTGGATCAAATAAGATCTTCTCCCAATCTACAATTTAACTGCATTAGTTTTAATTAAGACTTACTCATACAACCATCACACTCAGAAAACCCACCTACAACCCACAACTCCTTACGTCACATACTCTCCAGCACATTTCACATCATATCCACCTACGCCAGGCACCTTTGGGTGACCTTTCACTTTTCTCAGCTCTGCTCGATCTTTGGCAATCAGCACGATAATTTACATCTCAAGATAACAACTACAAATACATTAACTAACTTCGGTATTCTTGTAATTTGAATTAAAACCGTATCCACCTGACCTTTCTCTTGGTTATAGTAGGATCAGGCTAGAAATCTTGGCGTTTCACTTCTTTACTTTCAAGGAATGTAAGAAGACATAAAAAGACCTTTGTTGGTTTGCATCAGTGAGGCATGCAACAGACTTGCCCTGTTCCCTTCAGAAATAAGGCACTTACAGCACTTCAGGAGCTATACGACATTTTCCGGGTAACAGATTAAAAAAAAAAAAAAGTAATTTATTATTCTGGGTATACAGCTGAAGAACGATCATAGCACGCACAACACCGACTTCTGATAAATGAACAACGGTCATTTTTGTAAATTCCTCTCGGGTACATATAAAATTTAGCACGGCACATCTGTGGAGAGGGGAGGACAGTCAGTGCAGCCAGCCAGTACCAGGTGCACGAGGGCTTTTCGTTTACGCTCAAAACAGCTTTCCCTCACTGGGGAAGGAACAGATTTGCAGGAGTAAAGGATCAGGCAACGTTCTTCTCACAGCAGTAAGTTTCAAAAATGAGCTGTGAACTTCAGAACTAGCAGCAAGCTGTTAAGATGTTCTCCCAGTGCTCTCTTGGGGTCTTTATGTAGGATAACAGCAGGCTCCCCAGCTTTCCCTGGTCAGCAGATGCCTGCTCTTCACTGAAAAAATGGTTCTGGTACAACAAACCCCGCTCTTGAGCGCAGGCAAACTCACGTTTGCTCCCAGATAAGTCTGTCTATTGTACTGGCTCTTACACAGGGTAAACTCGGATATCCCCCTTACTCTTGAGGAAAAAAACCTGAAAATGGTATGGAAATGTCCTGCTGGACCAACACTGCCCTCTCCCGCTGCAGCGGAGCGGTTGTTAACCTCTGACTCTCAGCAGCCCTCAAGCAGTTCACGGTTCGGATCGGGAGCCCGGTATCGGCCTACATCACGCCCTCGGTGGTAGGGCTGAGAAGGAAATCGAGAAAGACTGAAGCAGGGGATACTGGACAGCTTCACGCTTAGCTATACCGTTATGCAATGCGGCCAGAAAACGTTAAGGCACTTCCAGACCAACTTCTTTCCGTAGCTTTCTGGGGCATGCGGCGTATTTTGTGGTTCTTGGCCACGTAAACACTTCAGCAAACAGTTCACGGAGCCAGAAAGATCAGACAAACCCAATGGACAAAGAACGAGGCTAACATCAGGCTGACGAACAACCGGTAGCAGTGACAGAACAACACTGCTTACGTAATTAACTCCCGCAATTCGACCTAGACTAAGTTTGCAAGAAGCAAACGCGCCGCGTACGTTTCACCGGACACAAAGCTACCGGCTGCTGGCCACCCACTGCCTGCGAAGGGGGTACTGGTGGCGGCGTCAGACCGTGCTAACGGCCTTCGCACCGCACACACCCAAATCCTCCGCAGCGAGGGGAAAAACAAAAGCGAGAAGAAAGGAGCCAGAAAGAAGCGGGCAAAAAGCTCGGCGGGCTGCGGCCAAGGCGCTGAGGGCGGCAGC